CTTTAATTTTCTGCACTAGCTATTGTTGAGGTTCCAAGTGCAAGGGAATTACCAAACACTGTAGTGCTGTCTTGGAAGTCCATGAACACACTCCATTTCTTGGATTGTTAATGGTGAATTACCCGAAGTGCGCTACACAAAAGCTCAAGTTCCGTAGCTATCGATGTTGTCCAGTGGGATGACCGATTTTCTATAGTGGTTGCAGTTGCAGGAAAGATCACCGACTTTGCTTACCCATCCACATTAGTTAAGCATCAGTATAGCAGTCGTTATGATCGCTGTACCTCTCATACAACAAGGAAAAAAAAGCTGCTTTAGAGAACCAGACCTTGAACGTACGCCTGCAACGATGAGTTGAACCTTTGGATGAGTCATGCACAATAGAGTATTTGGAACTCTGGCTGGACCTGTACATCCCGTTGGTAGGCGTGTAGGCCAGAACAAGACTGCCTGAAATAATACTATATCGGAGAACAAAAATGGTTCGCCGTCAGTTTTGATGTCGCTAAATTTTGCCCCAACATGTTGGGCGACAACTTTAATTTAGTTCAGTTTCGACATCGTTTCATTGTTTCCTTGTACCAGGAATAACAACATACTGAGTCTAAAAACAAAGCAACAGACAAGCGACCTAGCACTTTTGCACAGAGACCTCGAAGGCCTCATCAGTATATTATTTTATTCAGACGGTCACTATACGAAACCCTGTTCTTAAGACGCGGAAATCATGATCAATCTAGACAAAACAAAAATACAGTGGAACAATAAGAAAGAATTGAAAATACTATTGTTATATATGACATGATATGTTAAATACAAGCTCACACCACTTAACTGCTGTCATCTGGATAGACATATTCGTTATGATGTTCTTTTGTGTGCTAACAATGAAAATATTTTCTGTATTTGAATTTTTTAGACATTTTTATGGCTATAGCAAGTAAGTTTTGGTTGCCGTGTGTGTAATATGCGTGTAATTACTTGGTTCTCAGGTAATAGTAGGTTTCGCAAACTTTCAAGGACGCATGATAGCGTAATACTTATACAAGAGTAATTTTTTTGCTTCGATTGAATTATGATGCTTTCCTTAAAAATATTCAATGCCAGACCGATTTTTGGACGTCTTGGCTTAGCCAGAAGGACCAGGCTTTCGAGACCAACTGACGAGCAGCCATGCCCCATTCTTTCAAGCCGTACACAATCTCAAGTCATTTTTTTAATCAAAACTAGCAGTTTTTCTGAGCTCAACAGGTTTTCAAAGAGCGTTCCGGCTGCTTAAACACACAAACGATGAAGTTTTATTCAACACGCATGGCATTTAACGAGTCCACTTGCCTTCTTCGTTTGGGCACACAATTCTGTGCATTTATGAAGGTGGAGTACCTCACCAAATGGAAAATTTGACCATTGACGGTGTGAGGGACAAGTGGTGCAAACAAAAAATCACAACGTGAGAGGTCACCGTATGACGTGAAATAACCCAAAATATTTTTTTCAGTCATCATAAAGTCAAGAATTCTGGCGTGAAGTCAAGACCAGAGACCAGGCTACCTGAAGAGAAGAAAGTGACGACAGCGCTTGACAGTGACATTGGAAATCTGAGTACTTCCCATGTTACTTGCTATGCGCCGGAAAGATCAGCGCATGTGTTCCTGAAGCGAAACGGAGATCAAGAAAACGAATAGAGTGCGTTCACATATTTATGAGGATGAAGATAAATTTGGGTCAAGAACATGATAGATATTTTACATCCAGTTGAAACAGCTTCGCTGTCAAGGAAGTCGGAGGACGCTTCAGCCACATCCACAGCAGAACGCGATCACGTAATCGGGCACCATTTGCAAAGGCTCGCATTGCCATCGAAAATCGGTAGCTTTGTCTCGCTATTCAGAAGACACTCAAACTCTGCCACGAGGAAATGAAAGACGGCGCGCGTCGCGTTATCCATTTAAAACTATTCTACATTGTCTACTGCAAGTGACATTTGAGAAGTGCCCACTGAGCATCCATAAGGCAATACGAGAACCTGCGCAGCGGTTCACTTTGTAGTCACTTGTGCTGGTGGTGATGGTGGAGTACACCAGCGATTCGTAGCAGGTTGGCCTTTAAACCCCTCACTCGCTGGGCAACTCATATTATATTGTCGCTTGACGTGATTGTACGCTTCTGCTACGCGAAATTACATGCGTTATGAAGACTTCTTGTACTACGGGACATTTGCGTAGGGGTTTTTTTTTTTTTCGGGAGCAGTTTCACAGATTAGCGTGGCTATGACTCTGTTGAACAGTGAGGTTCAGCATTTCCGTGAACATTGTGGTCCTGGGAAGAGTACGCAGACTGATACGAAAGATGAGGTTATAGAGTGGCCTGCTGTCTATTTTTTCATCAAGGTACTCAAGGATAATTTAAAAGTCTTGTTGAATGTTCGTTGCTGAACAATGCATAAAAAACTGTTCGCTGCAAAACATTCCATAAAAAAAAACTGCATCACTGCAATCACTAAAAACGATTAGTATACTTGGTTTTCAGCACAATCTGCAATACACGTCCGAGAGAACAAAGAGTCATTCAGGTCCTTTCTATGTGTCTTCATACAAAACAAATTCCTGTGTCTATCTTGATTGGAAACTCTTTGTTCCCGGAGACAGACAGATCAAAAACATTTTTTTCAGGAAGAAACTAAGGAAGGCACGTTTTTGAGGGCTTGTTCCTGTGTTTGACAGAACAATGATAATACCCAGGAGCCTAATGAACCCGAGAGGTACAGGGAAGGTTAATGGTGCCATTCTAAGTGTACTGTCATAATTGTGACATAGATGTGAAGGGGACGATGTGACAGCTTCCCGCTGGCAGGAATTGAACCTGTCACACTTGGATCCGGAGGTTGCAGGTTCGATACCTGCCAGGGGCAAGTTGCCTATTCGTACTCTTTACTTTCTTCACGTCATATCACAATTATTACTGTAAACTTGAAAAAGCACCATTCGCCTTCCCCGTACCTTTCTTCACCTAATAATCTCCGAGGAACAAGTAACTCAAATACGTGGGTATATAAACTTTTCAGTGACGCTCTAGACAGGCCTTTTTATGTTTGATTTCAGCTTATATATTCCAAATTATTGGTTTTTCAAATATTGATTTAAGTTGACCGGTTTCATTTTCTGTCGTAAACAAAAACACAATATGGCAGCTCCGCCCTAGAGGATTAAAGCCTGAGGGAGGTACAGAGCTTGGATGTCGTTTTTTGTATTTCTGCTCTTAAGTGTTCCTTTTTATCTTTCTCAATTTCCTCCTCTCTCTGCAAGTCTTTTTTTTGTTTTTTTATCTTCTTTTTTCTACCTGCTTTTTCCTTTCTTTTTATTTTTCTATTGATTGATTTATCTTTCATTTTCATACATGTTGGTTGTGTTTTCTTCGGCGATTCTTACTCCTTATATTATCATCCAAGTCCCCGAAGAAGATGAGAAAAAGAGCTGACTATAATATCGATACTTCCAGAAATGACAATACATTGCACCGATAAAATATCGAAAACCAGCAATTTGTAAAGATACGATGCAGAGTATTAAAAAAAAAACGGACAGACTATCAGCACCTTATATTTCCTGGGAAACCTCAATGGGGTCAATCTAGAAAATTTGAAGTTATTTTTAGCAAGTTATTTTGCAAAAATTAATATTTTGCTATTTATTTAGCAAGTTATTTTGCTATTTTAGTGAAGTTATTGTTTGACACACTGTTGCCCCATCAAACTTTTATTTACACAGAGCTGGTCTGTTGATATCTCCCCTGTGCCCATTCTGCGAATTAACAGAAACCATTGAACGCTATTTTGTATCGGGTTGGAACTATGCATTAATTAGAAAACGACTTCTAGTTATTTCGTTTGCGAAGGTAGGTTTAAGTTTAACAGCAGAAAATTTTCTAAATTTCGATGCTTCCGCCTGGGAACGTTGTCACAGAAACGTATTTGACGCAGTACGTAATTTTATTCAGGAAATTAAACGTATTCCAACATAATGTCTGCTTTAATATCTCCTTAAAATGGTATTGATATAGTTGGTAATGTGAATAAATGTAGAATATACATTTAATTTTGATCAAATGAGCTGAAATCAACTGTCTGGTAAGCTCAAAATATCAGAATTTCGATATGGCATTAGCGCTGATTCCTTGCCCTGCCGCGGTGGTATAGTGGCTGAAGTATACTCGGCTGCTGACCCACAAGTCACAAGTTTAAATCCCGGCTGCGGTGGCTGCATTTTTGGTGGAGGCGAAAATGCTGTAAGTCCATGTGCTCAGACTTGGGTGCACGTTAAAGAACCGCAGATGGTAAAAATTTCTGAATCCCCACACTAGGGCATCTCTGATATACATATGGGGGTTTCGGGATGTTAAACTCTACACATCAATTCATTGATTGGTAGGTTTCCCGCATGGAATAAGCTGATGTCCTATGATGCTTCCACATTTTCATGATATCGTTAAGCGGTGTATAAGAGTCACTTAAACAGTGACAGCAAAATAAGTGTATTTCTTCTCTGAAACTTCTTGGGTTAGTTGGTGCGCAGTGAAGTATATGAAAGCGGGGAGACACCGTACACGAGGAAGCGGGCACAAACAGTCGGCTTCAACGATCTACCTTTCCTATTTGTGCTGTCATTCACTCGATAAACTGGTCACAATCAGCTATGGCAGCTGCGAATACCGATAGCCCACGTCGTGCTGTCAATAGCGTTCGTCCTGTACTTTTTTTGAAACAATGCAGCACATGACACAATAGCTAAACTTCGGCTAGTCTTTTACCAGATGTGCTGTGAGAAAGCTGGTGATAAACAATAGATAACGCAACGTTGGTTTGTTATTATTGTTCCAACTATACACTTGAAAAGCTCGAATCTAAGCTGCGGCACGTGCATGAAAGAAGAAAAGAGAGTTATGTAAAGGAGCCTTTATAAAGAGGTCTGAGTGGTTTTCAGCTTCTTGCCAAGGTTATTACCGTGAACGTCGCTTCCGGTAAGGACGAGGAGCAATGGCGTTCTTCGTAACGGTCGTGCTTGCAGCTGCTCTTGATTTGGGATTTGGACACTTAGGTGAGTACGAGAGGCGTATACCGACACTCTTCGACACATTCAGGCAGTATGGTTCTCAAAAAGACCAGCCATAATGAAAATTTAAAAAAAAGCAGCCGTCCATGGGAGCGTAGCACGTTTCAACAAACGGAAGCTCAAGTAGAGTTTTTTTTTTCGGAAAAAAATTGAAAATGCGTTTTTATGCCGTTAAATTGGATTTAAAGTGAAGTGCAGACTACTATACCAACGCGAGGCCGATCTCCTGCCTCGCACTACCGACAGAGAAGCGCTGGCAACGTATGAACCCCGAGGGCGTGCTGTCATTACGTTGTGGGACGGGTCGCATCTAGCTAAGCCCCCCCCCCCCCCCCCCCTCTTAAATGGGGCATGCCAGAGACATAGGATAACGCTATTTCGTTGTTTAGTTTTTAGCGTGCTTCTGTTTTTTACACGGGAAATAGAATGCCGAAATTCTGTATGGCTCTGAAAGAATGAACCAGTCAAAAGGACGACGGACAAAGCAGAGAAATGGCATTGAATAATTATTTTGTTTTTGTGTTTTCTCACCATCTTCCACAAAAACAAGCCTGCATGCGCTTTAAAAAAAAACAACGAAAAAAGATGCTGTTTGCTGATAAGGGCATTTGATAGTTAAACCATTGTGTCTGCCACTTTGCTCCTTCGTCCATTGTCTTTTAAGTAGCTCATTCTGTCACAGTTAGGTACCGAAAAATCCGCACTCCAGCCTGTAAGGGTGCAGGCGGAAATGAGTTTTGTTGGGTGGGGTAGGTGGGTAGTGCCACTTTGATCAGAATCGGAGGCTGGTCAGGCAGATGTGGTTGAGCGAGATTTTGTGCCCTGTATGACAAGGCGAAAAAACTTTCTGGAGAGGGGGGGGGGGGCAGGCTACGCCTTTGACTTGGCCTTTCAGAAATCCATATGAGGTATAGCAGCCTGCAGTAAGTAATCTAGTTGAATATGACTTCCTGCTGCACTTAGCATAAGTATGATCGCGTAGAGGAGTTACGAGAGGATATACATTTACCCTAAGGATGGCTGCAGTTCAGTAAGACAAGCCAGTGGTGATTAACCAAAGAAATCTGCGGTAGTTTCAGCAAAGACGCATGTTCTACGATACCATCGAAATGAAAGAATTTTGTTTTTGCAGGTGAGTGCTGCAAGATTTTTGAGATGCTAACGATAGGCTCAGTTAAGTGCTCTACACAAAGACGTGCCGAAAAGGCAGATCACTAAAAGTGCCATGTGACAGATTTTGAGCCTAGTCAGAAAACGCTGCCGATCGGTAGTCGAGGATCCCGAGAAAAGGCGACCCAATTATTATAGTTCAGCAAGTGGCCTGGAGTATACAACAAATTCTCAGAATCAGCTAAAATCGAAGTCTGCTGAAAACTGCTTCCTCTTCTCTCGAAAAGGATACTCCAAGCTCCGAAATTTTTCGTCACCATCATTGTATCAGCCATTGGCTGATTTGAGAATGGTGCACTCGGTCGTTAAGGAAGCCACTGCAGGAAGCCGCGACTTGTTTACGTGTGCGTGCGCCATCGCACTGCAATATTGCTTATTAGAAGAAAACGAAATAAGTTCTTAATGTAAAAAACGTCGCAGCGATTTTATTGATTGATATGGGAGGTTTAACGTCCCAGAATAACCATACGATTATGAGAGACGTCGTATTGATTGATATGCGGGGTTTAACGTCCCGAAACTACCATATGATTATGAGAGACACCGTATACAGTGGAGGGCTCCGCAAATTTTGACCACCTGGGGTTCTTTAACGTGCACCCAAATCTGAGCACACATGCTTACAGCATTTTAGCTTCCATAGAAAATGCAGCCGCCACAGCTGGGACTAGATACCGCGCAAAAATCGTGTGAATTATTTTCCTTCTCCATGCCATCCCACCCTATTAGCTCTTAGTTTTTCGTCGAGGATACAATTGCAGCGCGCGACAAATCTTTGTAGCTCCGCTCATACTGGAATGATTCTAAAACTTTCTGCGGCAGTGAATTTGTGAGGCAATAAGCTCCTTTAGTGAACGCATTTCGTTGCTATTGAACGAAGTTTTTCCAGGCCCCTTTAACCTGGTCGCGATAAGGGCTCAAACACCTGGTTAAAATAGAGTTCCGGTATTTCGAGACCCCCCCCCCAAAAAAAATACGTGAGTCTTAAATGTACCAGTGGCTACGAGAAAGTGACAGTTTCACAGTTACAGACAGTAGTTATTTTTGAAACAAGACAAGAAAAAGTAGTAAGGCAGGAAAAAGCTTTCCCATTTCTAGTAACAACAGAGGTACAAAGCTGGCGATAAGACACCCAAAGAGGCAAGAAGTGCCACTGCGTTTTAATAATGATGAATAGTTGTGCTCACAATCAAGAATAGTTATGCCATGTTATTCAAACAATGAAGAAGCAGCGAAAAAGCTCGATCTTTTGTTTTTCATTTTGAGTCTGGTCTTTTGCGCCAATAGGCGTGCTAGCGCGATGGCTATTCGTTTAGTTTTTGACCACTGTTATCACGCAGCTTGCAATATATGAAGAGCGAGTGTGTGTTTTTTCTGGGAGCAACCAGTGACTTGTTTGTGTTGCAAGCAGTTTGGGTCGAGCAGTTCGTTTTGGTTTTACAAATAAATTGAATAAATACATTTCAGAAAATGAATTGCACGTAAAATCGATTATTGTGACTCAAGTTAGAAATATTAATAGAATACTATGATATGTAAGCATAGGTTCTATAAAGTAGGGGCCAAATGATGACTACATTAATTGATGAAAGTCAAATAATTATGTTAGTTGAAAAAACACCCTCTTCATTGTAAGGAACTAGGGTGGTTGTGGCTCCTGGCGGCGTGGATCGCAACCGCGCGTTTTCCAGCATGGCCTCTGAGATTCGGTTTGACAGGGAACTAAGCACGAAGTGAATCCAGGAATTTACCAGGGCAGACACACGTGAGTGTCCTTAGCAGACGCCGATTAGTGGTTGGTTCCAGATTTCTGTTTATTTCTTTTTATTTTCTCTGTGCTAGCCACAAAGGAATAATTTTAGACAAAGGGGTCACCTCTTATTTCACTGTGTCGATTGCCGCCAGGCAACGAACGAAGTAATTTCATTCAAGAGCCTGCTTTTGGTGACTGCTAACAGAGAGGGCAAGGCCTGCCCTTTGTGAGCGTAGGCACCGCGCGTACGTTAGAAGCCGCCATAGTCGCGCGCTGCGTCCAGCGCCCAGCGAACATAACGCTGCGCTTCGTCCAGCGAATATAACGAAACACGGGAGCAGACGATGCAATTGTTTGGACGCCACTGCATTGTGCTGCACTGCACCTGGACCAACATTCTCATTTGAGATATTTGACGTGTGAATAATGCAGTGCACAAAGGCGAACACGATGTAAGACGGTGCGTTGAATGAGCGTTTCTTATCAGTAGCTGCTTCGTTAAAGAGCCAGTCTGACTGTTCCGACTTTTCTTTTTTTTTTTACAACCTTCAAACAAGCTCATGAAATTGTAGAGTAGGCCGTAGCGATCACGTTTTCTGAATATTACTGCGCCGCGTGCCACGCAAAGCCTTGATTAAAAAAAAATTGCCCGCAGCTTCCCTCGGGGGAACACTGAGGAGGATGCGGACCATATAATTGGTTAACGGGGTGTTAAAGTGCGACTTACTTGGGTCGATGGCTAAATTGGTTAACGTGGTTGTGAAATGGGGTGTTAAATTGCGACTTACTTGGGTCGATGGCTAAATTGGTTAACGTGGTTGTAGGAGGGGGTGTTAAATGAGTGAACACGTACACACGTATGCGAAAGGGCGGCGCTGGTCGAAGGGACGTCGATCATTGTGTTTGTGGATTCGTTGGGATTCATTTCACCGCGACCTTGGACGTCGACGCGCCCTACAAACCAACCGACGAGCGGCAACTGAGCGAGCGAGCGCCGACCTTGAGTATACATACAGCACGACGGCGCATGCACTGTCAGCTGTTGAATGTTCTCGAAGCGCGACGCCACATGCGCGTCCACTGGAGAATCAGGAAAATTGTAGATGTCGAACACGGTGTGTAGAGGAGGAAGGGTGCACAGATGGTGGAGGAGTGAAGCGCGCGCGGTGTGTAGAGGAGGAAGGGATGCACAGATGGTGGAAGAGTGGGCGACGGCGCGACGGCGCATGCGCGCGCGTCAGCTGTCGAATGTTCGAGAAGCGGTGCGGACGGCGCGGACGGCGCACTACAAGGCGCGAGTATAAGATGCTCCGCATCTAAAAAATAAATAAATTTTCGCGCATCTTTTCCGCGCCTGACCGATCTCCTTCCACGCGCAGTGACGTCCACTCGGTGATTGGTGGCGTGACGCAGCACGCGGGTTGTCGATTGGTCTAAACCAGGTCTAGACAAACAGTAGTGAAGTCAACGACAGTTCCTGTTCCCACCCACAGCTACGACAGAGCTATTCAATCATACGAGTTGCGAAACACGTCGTAGGCTCCATGTATCAAAATCCGAACACGTAACTGGCCCAGTCTTTGGGAGCGAGCAGATTGTCTCGTCACCTTTTGATCAAGACACTCACTGTTAAACGCGTTATTTGTGTTTTGTGTTGCCCCCAGACGGCGCGACCGTCTGCTAACTCCCGAAATGTCAGGCCAACAGCATGTCCAGTTTATGAAACGCAGTTTCGTTGCAAATTGGTGTCGGCTTGAAGAAAAAGTATAAAAAATGTAGGAAGGTTAACTAGACTAAGTCAGCTACCCTACACGGGGGAGAGGGCGATTCGGGAGTAAAAGAAAGAAAGAGGAGGAGATACACATTGCCCATAACACACACACCACACACACAGTTCAGGTTTCACATGCGGTCGCACAGTATCGAGTGACGGTATCGAGCGAAGTTCGTTGCGACTGATCCATTTCACCGATGACGTCGATTGCTGACGGCGTGCCACGTTGCCGAAGACGGCGGAGTAACGACGACGGGCTACGCCTGTTCTTCCTCTGAGGGAGAAGGGGGCGAAACCGCGCGAAAATTTGAAAACAGATGAAAGCGTAGTTCTAACCCCTGTAATTTTTTTAATATAAGCATGTATTCACAAAATTCTTGCAGGAGCATGTTCACAAAGTAAAAGTGCACATATTTCTCTTTATAAAATTTCGGGACCTTGGGGATGTACAGTGTTTGTGCACTTGCATAACAACACGAGGTCAACAGTGGAAGTGGATCTCGTTTTATCGAAGGACTTTTGCATGAATTCAATGAAAAGTCGCTGCTAGATTTAACATAATCGAAGCTTCTAACTTCTTTGAGCAACTGGGCATATCTTCGTTCTTTTTCAGTGGCCAGTAATGCAGGAGGTTTAAATATCACGGTGCCACTTATTGGGAGTTTGAGTAAGTACCATGGAACTGCTCACTTACAAAATGCATCATTTTTGTATAGTGCAGACGTCAGCCAAGAATGCGTTGTTGTACAGATTTCCATACTATATAGAGCGCAGTGGAAGAGTGTGATCGCATTAACATTTTTGTTTTCGGCAACGTCCCAGTTATGACGGGAGTGTGATCACATTAACATTTTTGTTTTCGGCAACGTCCCAGTCGTGACGGTAATTTTAAGCAGAAAAGCAGAAGCTGTGGAATAAATTTGCTATTTATGCTCTGCGCTATCAACAGAGGCGCATTTGTTCGATTTCAAGTTTTTAGTTTTTCCCTAGCTTTGTTGTAGAATGCACGGTATTTTTTATTTAGGAAGTTTCTTGAGACTCGTACTTGTACGGCACCAAAGCGCATGTCAATGAATACCTTATTCACAATTACCACACCAAGAATTTCTAATCTGAACATGTGCAGTACGTCTAAGCGCACCTATATCAACATCATCATTGTAAGCACACTCAACAAGAGGATTAGCGGCTTTTTTGTGGTCTAAGATACGGAAGTTATGCTGGCACATCCAGGGCAAATAATGTGCTCAACAACGGGACCGAGATGTTTTTCTACCTGAAAGGGGCGAGGTTAATGCTCGAGTTTTCTTGTGGTAGCTTGTATTTTTGAAAGACAAATGGCTGTCTAAACCATCGCCTTCGTAAGATATCACGAGGCTATTGAGCCGCTTGTGGCCCGGGCTCTTTTCGGTAAAGCCCGAACCTAGACATGGCTGTATTTTACCCCGATACTTTTCTATTTTTATAGGCTACACAGGCATGACTGGTCTCAAGCATTTCCTTCATGATGCACTCCATGTGGCCACTACTGTTAAAACGTGACCACGAAAGAAAGCTCTCATATTTCAGAATCAGCGTACTGATTTCAGAGATTCTGAAAGTTACTATCAATATGGGCTCAAAATGTGGTGTTAAACTCGCTACGGAAAGTACCCGTATATGAGATATAGGAATGGAATTCTTTCAAATGGCAACACTAGCTGATTCACCCCCCCCCCCCCCCCCCCCCGCCCTATAAAGTCCAGCCTTGAGCTTCATGGCCTCTGCGGAACTAAATACAGCGACAGCAGCCCGCCATATAAGGTGGATTGGAGATCCCTGGCCTGCGTGAACATTGCAACAAAGTAAGGAAAGAGAACGACGGAAATTCGGTTAGTCATTGCCAAGAGTGTCGTTGTAAGCCATTGTTTAAATATTTCTCTGTCGTATTTCAAGGCTACCCCTTTCCACGAGTTGTTGATATAGTCTGAGCGAAGTATGGATGTATGATGCTGGCAAAATGTGTTCGTGTCAATATGACTAGCATATCTTAGATTACAAACGTGCTACAGCTTCCTTGTGAGACGTGCTTGATGATGTTGGCGTTGGCACGGGTGTGGGCGGACGTAATGTGCATGTTCATGCTTGAAATTCATAACATGGTAATTGTGCATAAGCTATTCACCTGCAACAAAAATCTTTAGGAAGTTTTCTTTTGTTCGTTTTTTTACAGTCACTAGCCTTGTAGGTATTTTTATTTTATCACTGTTTTAATACTGTTGAGGCTTCGCGTCGCAAAACTGCAACATCATTATGAGGGACGTCGTAGTGGCAAACCCCGGAAGTTTTCACCCTGTGTTCCGCTTCAACAGAACCGTAAATCTAAGTGCACATGCCCTATAATGTTTTCGCCTCTATTCGAGTACAGTATAGCTGCGGCCTAAAATACGTCTCACGAATTTGCGGTCAGTGGTCGAGCACCATAAAAACCAGACCATCATGGCGGGTGAACTTGGCAGTGCGCGAGTGGTCGAACAGTACTACGCGTGTTAAAAATGTTACACCGCGCAAAATTTTGCCATGTGTAGTGGATTAATTTTTGTGCTTGTGTGTGTGTTTTTTCTAGGTTTGGGAGGCAGCGGTGGACTGTCCATTGGGTCCAAATTTTCGGGTAAGCGTGTCTTCTCGTCAGCCCTAAAAAAAAAAAAAAAAACTAGTGCTGTGGAACTACGAATATGTGATTTGCTCTTTACTTTCCCGGCCACAGAACTCTCCTCAGAAGTGAATAATAATTGTCGCGGTTTTATGCTCCATTACCTCGACATCCTTATGTTGCACCCCGTAGTGGAGGGCTCCCGATATCTGAACTACTTTAGCTGTTTTTTTTTATTTTAACGTGCACCTAATGAGTGCCTAGGATTTAGGCTCTGTCGAATAATGGCTCCCGCATCCGGGATTCGATCCGACGCTCAACGACCGTCGAATTAGCAGTCGAACACCATAACCACTATCTAGAATATCACGGTGTATATTTCAAATATTTTAGACTTGCTGAAATTTTTTTATATATAGCTTTACAACCGGACCAAGAATATTAAAAAAAAAAAACGCCAGGCCTGCGCGGAAAGTCAAGCAGTCACAGCAAAAGCTAGAAGAGCAGCCTTTCAGAGCCTTTTCAAAACACTCATTGGGTAACTATTGCAACCAAACTAGCTTGATACCCACTAGGGACTTAAAAATAAACTTTTTTGGGGTAGTAGGCGAGCATTTCCTATGCTAATTTTTTTCATTCTTCTGAGAAGCGTGGTATCTGCTTATCACTTGCAAAGGAATTTCGTGCCAATTGTTCATGCAGTAGGTGACGACGGTGAGGAATTATGCGTGAAGTGGGTATGCGCCCCGGTTATTGAACAAGAACAAGTTTTTGTAATTGGTATGACCATCGGACGACCCACTCGTTACTCTATTCGCATTGTGCGACGATGGGTTGTTTTTTCGCTGTTTTAAAATGCTTTAAAACACTCCAAGTACCGCCATCTAGTTTTATAACCCCTCACATCTTTTTATCATACACAAGTACCACCATCGTGAACGGTCGAAGAACTTGACTAAAAGTGGCTACCTATACAATTACATAGGTCGAGGGTGTACAGACTCGCGCCTTGAGGAGCTTCGCCGCTAAAAGCTTCGCTCTTCAAATATGTTTGGCATTGTTATAGCAGCACCTGTTGTGGCCCCACTGACACGCGTAGCCACTCAGGGCCGTTTTGTGTGTCACGGGAAGGGAAAGAACAGCTGCTGGATTGCGCTCCAAGGGGCTGTCTATGAAACCCCAGAAACGCTTTGAGGTAGCGCCACTATCTTTCTCCATCTTCATTTCACCTCGATTTTTCTCCGCTTCACGCTCCGACCATGGTGCAGCCTGCACTGCTGCAGCGTAGCCAACATTCTTCGCAGAGTTAATGAGCACACGGCCGGGCGGTGCGCTGCAAACGTTCGCGCTTGCGTTCTGGCTGCGAGCATACACACGCGGAAAACAACACTGCGTAAGGTAAGGTAAACGAACCACCATGACGAAGATGGCAGCCAACTACGCACCACTACTGCCTTGCAGTGACCAACCTTAAAGATGGTTAACCACTGTGTAGAAAGCCATGCCAGGCTGTTTCACACAACGTTTACTGAAGGTTAGTAAGTTCAACATCACAGAGAGTATGCTAAACGGGTGTCTTAAACGCCATGATATTGATAGCGTTTGTTCCAATCCTTGTTCTTCAGATTTCGGGCCAACACTGGCCTTGTGTCTGTGTTGTTATACTTCTTTAGTGCTTCCTGTAATGACACTACGTTTAGTTCAAATATTTCAGATAATCCAAGGAAATGTTTTACAACTCTACAGCCCAATCTTGTAGCCACGTTCTTTTACCTAGGCAGCAGTACGTTCTTTATATCACGAGAATCAAGCATTTTATCGATTATGATATTTTTTTTCTTTTCTATGCTATGACAGCCTATTGATTACAGTCAAAGTATAGTATAGGGCGCCGTAATGTGCCGTATAAAAAGATGCACGCCCTTCCAAGTTTTCTGTAACAACCAATCATGGTGGACCATGGCCGGTCCAGATATTGACGATGTTACATGACACGTATGCAAACCACCCCCTTGCATGGTGAAGGAAACATTTGTTTTAGTTTAATTATTGTCACAAATTTAATAGAATTATGGAACTTTGAATGCACCAACTGAACTCTTTTCAAAAGATGGCGTCAATCTGCACCGTAGCACTGTTTATTTAGTCGTTGGATACACAAAATAGCAAGTTTAAAACAGCCGAATCGCAGCACTGAGGCACAATCAAGTACTCAGTGTAAGCGCAGTCGTGCGATTGTTGTCCTTCAACCTAATATTACATCTGTTTAATTTATGTGTACAGTTCTGACTGTGCATTCCGTTTGCTTGCTATCGCTATACTAGGCCAGGGAACGGGTGCCTTAGGCGCTGGACTGAGTGGAGGCAATGGCAGAGGCTTCAGTGGCGGCTTCGGTGGCGCTGGTGGAGGCGCTGCAAGTATCTCGTCAAGTAGTTCAAGTAAGTACTTTTTCTAGCAACTTAGGAAGTGTTCTTCACAATGTCGGCATTTGCAAAGTTTCATTATACGAAAAACAATAAATGTAACTTGCTTTCCAGACTACACACCTTTTCTTCACTTATTTTTTTATTATTTAATTGATTTCCTTGTTTACTTCATTAAAAGTGCTGACTTTAAGATTAGGTCTTGGGCAAAAGTGTGCGCACAGTGATAACACAGCGCAATATGGTGTGGCAGGAAAAAGACTGATGAATTCATTCACAGCATTGTCATGAACAGAGGGTCGTTAGCCTTATACGTGAAAAACACAGATTCCCAAGAGAGTAAGAAAGAAAGTTGTTCCAAGAGAAATTGACTGGTGTCAGCTGTGATTGTCAGTGCGAGTAGTATAAAAGGTAAAGGCGGATTCATGGCACTCCGCTAGCGTTGCTCAAACACGTGAAGTGTTTTGAGAGCTATCGAACTTGCAGGAACTAATAGCATTCCAGAAATCAATTCGGTGCGTGCTACGCAGCCACTTGTACGCGGAACATCGTCAAATCTGTTGATACAGCTGTAGCCTTAATAGAAGCCACTGCCACAAGCATAAAATATGCAGCACAAAAAGACATTAACTAAAATGATGGTCTTTGAAAAGGGCACCACTCTCATATTCTTTTTTTACCTGTTGTCAATTATTTGCTGAATAAATTGATGTAACTATAATTACATTTGTACAAATTGTGACTGTAAAAAAATGAACTGGCTGCGCTTTCAACTCAGACTTTTACGCAACTTGAACGTCATTATTATTAGCAGCATGCCAACAGCTACATCACTTCTGATTCATTTCAGTTGTGGGAATTACAATCAAGCTGCTTATAAATGAAGTTTGAAGAGCTTGTTTATACAAGATGAAGCTTGAAATCTTATTAACATCTGAAATTCTTAATTGTGTAGTTCTTCTTATTAGTGTAGTTGCATAATTGATTGCTTTGGTTAGCAGTATAGTTCTTTTTTCGCTACATTACTGCTTTTTGTTGTTATCTCAGTTTTTAGCGGTGGCTCACGTGTTGGCTTGGGTACTGGAGTCGGCGCTGGTTTGGGCACTGGCTCGGGAACTGGCTTTGGCGGTGCCCTCAGCGGTGTCTCGGGGTCAGGTGGCATCACGACAGTTGGCTCGGGAAGCAGTTCAAGTCTATCGGGATTGAGGGGAGCCCATGGTAGTGGCGCCCATTTTTCAGCTACGTCGACGAGTACTACGAGTAGGTACAGCTTTAAATGCAAAGCATTTCTTAGGGAACTTCTGCGACAGCTTTCTGTCCATCCATCCATCCGTCCGTCCATCCATCCATCCATCCATCCATCCATCCATCCATCCATCCATCCATCCATCCATCCATCCGTCCATCCATCCATCCATCCACCCGTCCATCCATCCATCCATCCATCCACCCGTCCGTCCATCCATCCATCCATCCATCCATCCATCCATCCATCCATCCGTCCATTCGTCCGTCCGTCCGTCCGTCCGTCCGTCCGTCCGTCCATCCATCCATCCATCCATCCATCCATCCATCCATCCATCCATCCATCCATCCATCCATCCATCCATCCATCCATCCATCCATCCATCCATCGATCCAACCATCCATCCGTCCGTCCGTCCATCCATCCGTCCGTCCGTCCGTCCGTCCGCCTGTCTGTCTGTCTGTCTGTCTGTCTGTCTGTCTGTCTGTCTGTCTGTCTGTCTGTCTGTCTGTCTGTCTGTCTCTTGTCTCATGGCCGTATTGTTAATAAGATGCACATCAAAATTTGTATGGTGTAACATGATAGTATTATGAACATAAATGACAGGTCAAACTATTAAAAAATTATGACATGCATGTCACCAACCGCATCGTTTACATTTCGTGGCATTTGTGTTGGCCATCTGGTTATCTTCATACATACGAAAGTTTGTATGGCGTCATAAAAGCCTATGACAAATATAAGGAATCAATTTCATCACGCAAGTCAGGCACCGGCTAATTTTCACTAATATGTAAGCAATTTATCAGGTATCCCATTGAATGTTAAAAAGCGACGTCATTCTTTGCATAATTAAGAAAGGTGGCTGTGAAGAATCGTTCAGGCCAAGCAAGTGTGTGTGTTGAAAGACAGTGAGAATGAACATCTTTAATTCGATTCAAGACCATAGTTTAAAAGAGGCACCCTCAGTCCAGATTGCCTCAAACTCAGGCTGCGTCCAGAAATATGAGTCAGAAAACACGACGGCAGAACAGTACTAGTGTAATCAAAAATGCTCATTTTTTATTTTGTAAGCTTGGACAATATTTTTCATTGATGTTCATGTCTTCATTGCGTACTGCGAAAAATGCTGAAATTATGGCAAAATAGCACAGACGTGTTTGTCTTACACTACTAAAGTGGACGGTTAAGTGATGGATATTCTCAAACAAGTGTGCAGCAGCGTACTTTTTCAGTCCCATTCTTGCAAAAATGACATTTCTTAGGTTCAATTATTGCTAGTCACAATTGAGCTCATGCCACAGGGATTCAGGTTCAGCCTCGAAGGAGCCTGGAGTAGTGTTGACACCTTCGATCTCGAGTGATATGATAATTAGGGTCTAGGTACACAAATCAAGGTCAAGCCTATATGCGGCCTACCGAGGGAACATCAGCGTCTCTCAGCTCTGTCCTTAAGCTATAGACGATAGCACACCAATCTCGCATCCAGGAGTCTTTGGCGGTATTCTCTCGCTCTAAAAGACACCATAATTTGTTTTGAAGTGCCAAAACAGTTTAAAAAACGAAAAAGCGTCTGTAAAAATTTTCATTTTGTACCGCTGCGCTGTCATCTGATGCGACAACAACCAGCGCAAGAGGAAGAGATTGCCGAGCACTGCCTGAGAAGTTCACAGCGCATCGCGGGAATCGTGCTGGTGGTGTTTTGCGATTGCACATATTTCCATCCACAACAAAAAACAATGAGCTCCGCCACCTTAGGATATAATCGAAATTGGCAGAAAGAACTGCGAGCCCAGTAAAGCGTACGAGTAAGTATACTTATTGCGTTTATTCAAGCGCAACTCCAGCTGTTCCACTCTACAGCCGTGATTTGCGTGCAGTATGCCTGTAGTATAAGGCACAAAACCATTCCCGCACTATTTCGCAGGCCGCATGTAATAATAGGATATACGTATTACGACTCGCGCGTGGATTCACACACCGTGCATGTTTAGTACAACTGTAACGGCCTACTATCGCGATGCAAAGAGATTCGAACGGCGCGGAAATCATGGCTTTCGACCCGGTCGAACTGCAACATGTCTTCGCTGTCTCTAGGCGAATATACGTGTGCTTTCGGCCGGCGTCACCGTAGCATTGTAAAATCTTGTTCTGGCTGGCACTTTTGCACAGTGTGTGTGTTCCGAGTGCCCAGCAGGACTGGCAGTTCATACACATGTGGTGCATGAGCGTAAGTTGAAGTCAGATTCTAGCGCTACGTTGACGCCGGCTTACAGCACAAATTCTGCCTAGTCACAGCCGAGGCACGTCGCAGTTAACGCTTTCCACTGTTCGCGTTTCACTCAGTCGAATAATACGTACCTGATGAATTTGTTTCCGCAGTCTGCAATGCACGTGCTGCCGATATTGTGGACTGTTGAACAAGGTCTACTCGACGTTTCACACGGAAACAGCATAAAATTCCAGCAAAGGAACAGCGCGAAACATGCGTACAGCTGGAATCGAGTTGTGTGTTGTGGAATCGAGCGTTTGATTTGCAGAGTTGAGGGTGTTGCTTCGCCGTGCTTGCAACAGATGGCGCCACACACGTGTCAATATTAAATATAGGGGCTTTAGTCAATATGGGAGCAACAAGTGAGCTCGCTGTGTTCTGTGTATGCTCTGACCTTCATACTACGCAGTTAAAACATTCTGAAAAGGGGCTGAGACTCGCTCAACTGTGGCGATGCTGCCGAGATGAAATATTTTCACGTAGTTTGCACACTATACAGCCGTTGACCCACCCTCGTATTTTGTGAAGTTGGCAGATCATATGTAGCTCATTGTATACAACTGTTCGTTTCACAGGATCTGCAAAAAAATTTTCAAGGCTCATTTTTTCTCTTCGTTTGTTATCAAAACCTTCTACCGATAAACTTGCATGAGGCAGTCTCTGTTTTGACCCAGTTGATATGCATTTCGCAAGAAGCACGTCCCTCAATTTATAAGCTATTCGTAAAACTAGACACCTTTCTAACCTAAATGATCATAATCTGCTTTTCTCGATTGTGTCTATACTTTTCTGGGGGAACTCTAAGTAGAATACGCAACAAAAGTATATTTAATTGTATTTATTTACCAAAATGAATGCAGTACTATTCCATTATTACATCCTTATGTGAAATAAAAAGCTCTTTAGCTATCAGGTTTTTCGCCAAATGCGATCTTATTGCTGTCCACCACACTGGCTACTAAGTATAATGTTTCGCTGAGTACCAAATAACAGATATTGTGAAGTCGCATCCCACAGTGACCTGTTGTGAGGACACGTCAGTTTTGGTAGATCTCCAGCATCTAAGGTGGCATGAGTGTATTTTGATAACACACTGCAACACCTCATATATTTTAAGTACTGGTATGGGCTTATAATGTATAATTTATCCTTGCATTTCCACTTATGCTTTTTCTGCCTATGTATAGGTGCTGCTGGCAGTACCTTTGGAACCATGGGAGGCATCGGGGGTGAGTCAGCTATTACAGATCAGTGCAGCTACGCCATTCGTTAGGTTTGAGTACCGTACTGTGTCAGTGATAGTTGAAATGTGGCCAAAACAATTAAGCTGATGAATTGTCAGAATCTTATAATGCTGAAGTTGTTCAATCTACTTTCGAGCTTCCCACACACAGTGAAACGCTCGATGCTGTGCAATGCCTACGTCTATTGCTTATTACTCTATCCACAACTTTAAACCAACATTTACTAATAAAGTTACTGTTCAATATGCTGATGTGCTTCTCATACTCAGGTATTGGTGGCCATGGGCACATAGTTTTGAGTGGTGTCACGAGTGGCAGCAGTGGAAGCATGACATGAATGAATGAATGAACAACTTTATTTATCCCTTGTTAAAGGGAAGGGGGCAACAGGAAAGGGTGTGGTGGGGATGAACTACTTGAAGTAGTCCTCCTCTACCCTCTCAGCCCACTCCAGGATGGCCTCCTGGGTAGCGGGCCTCGAGCTGCGCAAGGCAGCCTCCCACTGCTCCTCACTAGAAATTAGGCGTTTCAGGAATGGGGGAAGAGGGTGCTTAGGGCAGCGCCACATGATGTGGTTCAAGTCTGCTGTGGAAGAGGCACAAAATTTACATGAGGGGGAAGGATAACAGGATGGATGAATGCGGTGTAGGAGGTAAGGCGAAAGAAAGGTGCGAGTCTGCAGCTGTCGCCACAGAATTTCGCACCTGCGTGAAGATTTGCGCGTGAGTGGCGGGAAGGTTAATCGCTCTAAACGGTAGTGTGTGCAAATATCGTGGAATGAAATAAGGCGATCCCGCGCTGTAAATGGCGCCTCATTCGTAGCGAATTGCGACACATCGGATGCGTGTGCCCGGACTGTGAATCCTCGGGCACTCGCGTGAGCCGCCTCGTTTCCGGCAAGGCCCGCATGCGCGGGAGTCCAGATTAGTGCTACAAGTCGATCAAGGGGATGATGCAAAAGTAGGGAAAGGGCTGGCTTAGAAACCCTGCCCGCTCCGAAATTATATATAGCTGTTTTGGAGTCACTGATAATAACGGATGAACTAGGTATTGTCAGGGCCAGGGCTATGGCCGCCTCTTCCGCTTCCTCCGAAGAAGAAGCAAGAACGGAGGCGGCCGCAGCGACCTGGCCGTGAGAGTTGATTACCGATATTGCATAATGATGCCTGTTTCCGTAATCGGCGGCGTCAACATAGAGCACATCATTGGAGGAGGAGAATTGTTTTTTGAGGGCCCTCGCGCGCTGCATCCTGCGCTGTTTCTGGTGCTCAGGGTGCATGTTTTTTGGAAGTGGTGGAATGTATAGGTTCTCGTGTATGTGGTGTGGAATGGTGTACTTGACCTTAGTGATGGATGCCGGAGTGACAGAAAGGGTTTGTAGAATGTGTCGGCCTGTCACGGTGTTAGAAAGTCTGTTATACTGAGATGCAATATGGGCTTCTCCTAGTTCAGCAAGGGTGTTGAAGGTGCCAGTACGCATAAGCCTTTCAGTGGAGGTCCGTATAGGCACCCCTAAAGCGAACTTATACGCTTTGCGTAAAAGGATGTCTATCTGGTCGGATTCTGATTTAAGAAAGTGTAGGTAAGGCGTTGTAAAAGTTATTTTACTGATAACGAAGGCTTGGACCAAGCGGAGGAGTTCGGCCTCCTTTAGTCCGCCATGTTTATTACTGACCCGACCCAAAAGTCGCAAGGTATGATCAACGGTGGTGTGAAGTGTCTTTAGTGTGTATGTGTTGAGCCGATTGCTTTGAATGTGTAAACCGAGCACGCGGATCCTATCCACTCGAGTAACTGGTACGTCATCTAGAATTACCTGTATATTGGATATGTGTTTTTCGCCCCCTCTGTGAGATGGTAGGAGAAGTAGCTGAGATTTCTGTGGGGAACATGAAAGATTCATAGACCCTGTAAGTGCCACAACCGTATTTGCCGCAGCTTGCAGGGTGTCTTGAATCTCTCCATCGGAGCCGCCAGTCATCCAAAGAGTGATGTCGTCGGCGTAGAGTGAAAACTTGAGGTCAGGGATAGATCTCAATGCATGCGCCAACGGCATCATAGAGACATTAAAAAGAAACGGTGACAGCACAGACCCTTGTGGCGTGCCGTAACTTCCCAAAGCGTAAGACTGAGATTGATCTGCGCCTATGTGTATGGTTGCGGTACGGTTGGCTAAAAAAGTAGCTATATAGTTATATGTCTTTGCGCCAACCCCTATGAGATTAAGCTCGCGGAGGATGGCGGAATGAGCAACGTTGTTGAAAGCTCCATGGATGTCCAGACTCAAGATTGCTTGCGTATCTAGGCTGCTGTTGGGTGTAATGATATCATGCTTCAGTCGAAGCATGACATCTTGACATGACAGAGATTTTCGAAAACCCACCATTTCTGGTGGATAAACATTGTTGTCTTCCATGTATTTATTCAGACGGTTGAGTATAACGTGTTCAAGCGTTTTACCAAGACAAGAGGTTAGTGAAATAGGCCTGAGATTGGAAGTGTTCACTGGTTTGTTTTGCTTTGGAATGAAAATTACCCTGGCATCCTTCCAGGAACTTGGAAGGGTGCCAGTGTCAAAGCAGTGATTGAAATAATCTGTGATTGCCGTGACGGAGTTGTCGTCCAGATTGCGAAGTACTTTGTTGTTAATGTGGTCTGGGCCTGGTGCTGACGTTGTGCGCAGAGTGGCCATAGCATGCCGAACCTCTGCTTCCGTGATAGCGGCGCTCAATAACTCGTTGGGCTTTCCAGTGTACTTTGGTGTGTTATACTTCTGAGCAGGAGGCAGATGTTTATCGCGGAGGTCGTCGAAGAGTCCGTTTAGATCGTTTTTGTGAGCATATACAAGTTTCTTTATGCTCTGGTTTTGATGTGTGCGTGATGTGGTAGGGTCTAAGAGGTGGCGCAGTAGTTGCCATGTGCGTTTGCTGTCAAGGTTTCCTTGCATGCTGTCACACACCTGGCCCCATTGCTGGCAGGCCAGTTGTGTGGCGTACTCCTGGATCTGCAGGTCAAGCTTGGCTATTCGGAGTTTTAGCTTTCGGTTGTGCCGTCCTTTTTTCCATCTCTTCAAGAGAGACTGTTTGGCTTCCCACATATGTAAAAGCTTGGCATCAACCGTGGTGAGGGGGGTTTCGGGGGGCAAAGTTGTAGTATGCACCCCAGCATCTGAGTGAAGTTGCTTCACCCATTCTGAGATGTCTTGGATGTTTCTGGGAGCTGATATCTGGCGGGCCTCTCGAAATTTGTCCCAATTGGTGTGACTGATTGGCTTAGGTGCGAAGGGTTTGTGCTTGAAATGTACTGTAGTAGTAATGATGTAGTGATCACTACCGAGATTAACTTGCAAGTTGCTCCATGTAACGTGCTGAATTCTGCGTGTAAGGGTAAGATCGGGAGAGGTATCTCTCGATACGCTGTTTCCTAGCCTGGTTGGTGCATCGACGTCATTATGTAGCGTGAGTCTGTGGTCTTGTATGTGTATCCACAGGGCTCTGCCCTTAGGAGTAGAAACAGTGTGACCCCACAACAGGTTGGGTGCATTGAAATCACCAAGAATTAAAAGGGGATGGTCTTTGGCAGCGGAAATGGCTTGAGTAAAAAGGGAGTCAAAGCGGTGATGTTTGTCTCGAGGGCGGCTGTAGACATTCAGAAGGTAAAGAGCAGATGTGTTATTCTTATGAGGAATAATCTCCAAAAAATCATGCTCTATATCGACGCCGTCGAAGTGGGAGTGATTTGCAGTGAGGTGTTTTTGAGTAAGAATTGCCGTATCAGGCCGGGACAGCTTTTTAGTTTGGTGGACATTATAACCTGGGAAGCTGACTGGCCCGTGAGTTTCTTGGAGGGCAATGACTTCGGGTAGATTAGAACGGGAGGCAAGGAACTGTTGCAGATGTGCTTTCTTTTTTCGGAACCCCCTACAGTTCCATTGCCAAACCTGAAGCTCGGAGCGAGTCGGGTTATTGGCCATTGTTAAGCGAAGCTGGTGCTGAGGTGGAAAGTGGTGCTATGCTAGGATTATTGGCACTAACTTCAGCTATCCAACTTGTAGTTTGTTGGATATGAGCTTGCACAAGGTCCATAAATTTGGCGAGTGCTTCATGTTTGGCTGCGTAATCTGCACTGAGTTTTTCAACTGCGGTGAGTATATTATGAAATTTAGTTTCTAATGCGGTTATTCTGTCATTATAATTTAAAACTGTCTCCTCCAGGGATTCTTCTGATCGTGGAGTGCTCGGAGTTTTACGTTTGCTGGGGGGAGGGAGAAGTGGTTCGCGTTGAGCACAGGGGCTAGTGTCCATGGGCAAATGTGCAGAGGGTTCAGGTGGGGCTGATGAATGGCACATGGAAGAGGCGGAATGAGAGGGAGGGGCTTGGGTGGTTGATGCGGAAGGAGGACGAGAATCAATTTGAGTGGTAGTAGCGGATAAGTGAAAAGACTCGAGTTGTAATTTAAGCCTCTGAATTTCAGCTTTTAGGGTTGCATTTTCTTTAAAGAGGGTGGAGTCGTTGTTACTGGTGTGATTTGAGGAGCAGCTAGAAGAGGCTGACTTAGCCCAGCCTACCTGGTGTGAGTTGACCGAAGAGTTGGTGAGAGCAGGGCTTGGTGATGGGGCTGGCCAGGCGTCGTCTTGCGTCGTTGAATCGGAGCGACGACCGCGATCTTTACTTTTGCTGGCACTGGAGCGTCGCCCGCGTTCCTTGCTTTTGCTTCGACTTTTCCGCCCGCGTTCCTTGCTTTTGCTTCGACTTTTCCGCTGGCTTGAACCGTGAGTTTGTTCGCGACTAGGAGATCGGTGGATGGGTGGGTCTTGCTTTTCCATGGACCGTGTAGGGCGCGGCTTAAATCGTTGTCTACACAGCGATGAACCTGTTTCATGGTTTCCATTGCACACAACACAAACATGGTCACACTCGTGGTCCATAGGTGCATCTTTTAGTCCACATTTGGGACAAAGTGTGTCACTGGTGTTGGTGCAGACGTCTTGGCGATGACCAATCTGACGGCACCGTGTGCAGGCTTCAACCTTTTGCCTGAAGGGACGACATCGAAGTGCACAGCCTTCGTAGTGGACGTAGTAAGGAACGATTTTGCCTTGAAATATGATTAGAATGGTTTCAGTGCTGCCTAGGCGTCGTGCACCTCCGATAGTCAGCTTTGGGTTGCATCGGCGGAGGGTCGAGATGATTTCGTCTTCCGAGTAATCGGAAGGCAGGAGAACGGTTCCTCTGCAGGTATCGACGGGATCAGCGACATGGGTGGCGACTTCATGAGGGGTGCCGTTGAAGTTCAAGAGCCGTATGCCATGGTAGAGGTCGGCACGATCCAGGTCTGGTGTGCTAATCAGAACGGTATGGTTGATGGAGTTGACGCGTATTTGGTCAGAACTGGTGCGGTCAGAGATTGGGAGACCCGCCGCCTTGAGGATTATTTGTCTGAGGACGCATGGATGTATCACAGCACAGTTTAAACCTCCACGGACTCTTAATATGATTTTGTAATCACTGCGCGGCAGTGGTGGGGGCTTCGGTGCTGCTCTTGATTGGCGCTCCTGAGCCACTGCATGGCTTGGTGGTGACGAAGGATGCTGGCGTTGTCTTGAGAGGCTCTCGTGGATCGCGCGCCAGGAACGCGCACCATCGACGCCGGCTGCGTCGCGCCCTGTTCCAGCGCTCATGCTAGGGAGAGGTAGGCCTAGCAGCGACACTGCCAGCCGACAGCCCTAAAAGGGCTGCGGCTTGCGTAAAAAACGTCTCAGTATTGAAAAAGTATCACAGGAAGCGTCGGTAACACTCACATATAGGTCCAGTCAAGTATTCGGGGCGTTTGGAGTGATCAGTCAGCCACAAGAGGAAAATTTGCAGGAGCCAAAGTCACATGCGACCGCTCACCTCCGCGCGCCGCGCCGAAGCATGACAAGTTTTTGGTCGAGTAGTGCAGATGAAAGCAACAGCCATAATTAAGGAATAATACAGATATCGTTCACATACATATTCATTCTTATACTAACTAAGAGCAATGTAACAGTTGTAGAGGAGAGCCCTCTCTTTTAAATATTTGTCCTTGAAATTTTTTGTTCCGCACATTGGTTGCTTGGTTTTTTGGTATGGGCTAGCGAAATGTGCATGATAACAAATATTATGACGGTAGTACTGAAGTTACCACGGACTATACCATTAATGGTACAAATTAGTGCATCATTTAGAGATAATTAAATTTTGTTACCAGATGATCATGACCTATAATGCAACCTTCTACTAGTAAGCATGACAACAATGCCGACTTTAATTACTCGTCCTAACTTTTTTCGGTGTTGGCTAGAAACGTTACAAATGCTAGCTACAAAAGTACTGTTTTCATCAAAAAGAAGCACTTGCAGTGACCATAACTCCAATTTCTTCATGTGAAAGCAGATGTTATACTGGTGTGTCGACGAATATACTAAACACATTTTGCGAAAGAAACAGTGGGATAATAGCCCGCATTGTAATGCTTAGATTTAGGTGACTGTACTTGCGCAATATACAATGCTCGGATGCACTGTATGATCTATGTTGGTTCTGTGTTAGTAACACAGCACACAGAACATATCGCGGAGCCTGCCCAATCAGTCATATTTTTTACAAATTATTCAGCTCTGTGCAGATGCAGAATTCTCTTGTTTTAGTATTTACCGGTGGACGAAATTTATGTCGTAAGAACTTAAATCTTTCTTTTCACTTTTATCAGTGTTCTTTATTTCCTGTTTTATTAGGTGCTGGTGGCGTTCACTTAGGAGGCACCGGTGTAGGCATTGGAGGAATCAGGTCTGGTGGTGCAGGTGTGTGCCTCCATTACTTGAACTATTCATTCTCAACGGTGAACGTAGTTTGAACAAAAATACAGCCGTAATAAAGGTTATCATAGCACAAGTATTTATACTTAGCATACTATAATGCACTAATATAAATACGAAAAAGACATTTAGTGGTAAATGACACTGAGCACTTTGTCATCTTGAGTGATGCCAGTAGCACCACTCAAAAGTAGAAGGTATGATGCTCTGGAGTATATGATGAGTTTGGAATTTATAAGCAACATGACGGCAACGGCGACGGCAAAAACCCGTCGAGGTTGTCCATATAATTGCTATCTCAAGAAAGCCCACCCGCCTAATCTATACTTGTTGGCTTTAGGGTCATTTTGTCTGTGAGGCAGTGGTTTGATATAATGTCTTGAACGAAAGCAACTTGTGAAATTTCATTCTCCATTCTTTGTGTCACCAATTATGTTATATTAATAATATTGATATCAGGAGTTTTTCCGTGCAAAACCGCAATACGATTATCATAAACAATGTAGTAAAGAACTCCGAAAATCATTACCATCTGGTGTTCTTTAACGGGACACTGAAGAAAATAAAAAGTCGATAAAATAGCTGAAACGGTGATCTAGAAGCCTCGTAATGCTACGTTTCTGCCAAGAAAATTGCTTATTTTAAAACAAAGTTATGTTTCAATGGTCCACATTATGTTAGTGCACTTAAAATTCATAGAATGGAAGTGGTCCATCTCACGTCACTTGCCGTGCACAACGTTGCCCACCTTTACTGCGTGGCCACGAACACTAGAGGCAGCACGAAAGAAGTATCGGGAGCCACAGGAGCAACAATGGCTACTAAACAATTTTTCTACCATCTTGGTGACTATGATTCCTCTTGCTTGGTTCGACTGGGCTTCGCTGCATGTCACTACCTATCCAGCCTAACCACGCAAAAATGGAATTTTTCAACACTCGCATCTGTCCCCGTAGTAACGCCAGATGGCACTTTTTGTTAGTTAAACAGAAACGGACAAGCCGCATTTCAATACGTCTTTTGATACACGGAAGGTTCTTTTTTATTAGAGCTAGCTTGATTATTTGTGATAAATTGTAGTCAGACGCTTTGACATCATCGGCATAATTTTCAAAAGACCCACTCATTAGGCCCGTCATGTGGCACATTCTGGTTAATTTCTCGGTAAGTAGGGTACTGCTCTTCATATTATCAATGTTTTAGACACTGTCATACACTCAGCTTTCACTCTGACATAAGTTGTTATTGGCCTTTAATGTCCTTTTAACGCGCACTGACATCGCACAACACGGATCTCTACCTTATCGCTTTCGTATAATGTGACCTACATGGTCGGGACAGAACCCGCGTCCTTCGGGTCAGCAGTTGAGCACCTTAGCCACTGATCCACCACGGTGGACTAACAAATTATGTAATGAAGCTACGTGTCGCAAATACTGTTTCTAGACAAAATGATAAATTGCCTCCGAGAATTCATACGGGTGACTCTGTAAAAGTAAAATGCTTATTGAGTTATCACAACTTATTACGAAGAAAAAAAAACATAGTAGTGTAAAATTAAATGGAATCAGCATTGGAATCTTTACTACAAGTAGGGACACCAGAAACTTGAATATGCTATACAATTTTTAAAAGCCACATTCTGTGAATTTGTGCACGCATTACCCACATGTAATCTGAGAAAATGCCCCGAGTGAAAATTTCAGCGCTTCTCTAAAATTACTTTTACAGGTTTAGGTGGCACTCTTCCTCCTAGAAATCTGCCGGGACTCGCGGGTACATCGAGTGAGTAGAAGTGACATCCTTGTTACAAGTACGCTTGCTTAAGATTTTACAAGTACCATAAAATAATTTATGTGATCTTGTTCTTACTACGTGACTTACGAGCTATTCACTAAAATTAAAGTGAACTGCCTTGTTATGCAATTTTAGCTATAGTACTCAGAATTACTTATCATGATGTTTTGCATGGTTTCTTAAGGACACGTAAATTCTTAGCAGAGCTGGTGGTAACGCTTTGCTAGTAACAGAGTTACCAGTAACGCGGTGCCTCTAAAGGCGAAAGGATTATAAGTCTCATTAGACCTCAAAGATGCTGAAAACGCAAGTGATTTACACACAAGTGAGCTAAAAAACTCACAGCACATCAACGGATTGAATGATGATGAGTGGGTGAAGCTTCGTTGGATCTCCACGTAGCCGCCTTTCCAGGCATCCGTCCATCTGCATGTATGTATGTATGTATGTATGTATGTATGTATGTATGTATGTATGTATGTATGTATGTATGTATGTATGTATGTATGTATGTATGTATGTATGTATGTATGTATGTATGTATGTATGTATGTATGTATGTATGTATGTATGTATGTATGTATGTATGTATGTATGTATGTATGTATGTATGTATTGTATGTATGTATGTATTATGTATGTATGTATGTCCGTGCGTCCGCCAACCTATCAGACTAAACCTCACGCAACACGCGTTCACGCCATCTAGTGATCCCTTCACGTGCTGCAACAGCACCGCACCATCTAGTGAACATTGTGAGAAGTAGGAGGTGGCTACTATGGAGGAGGGACTGAGCCCCAGCGTAAGGAGCCTCACCCCTAAAAATGATGCGATACCTCACCGAAGTTCTTGGCGAAGTAGTTCAGCGGAGAGCAACAACTATAATCAAGGAATAGTGCACTTGTCATTCAAATAGTTTAGCGCTGTACAAGTTAGCAGTGGTGCAGCTATTATTCAAGAGAGCACTGCCTCTTCTTTATTTTTTCTTCAGTTTTTTTTGTTACACATATTGGTGGGTTTCATGGTACGGGCTAACGAAACGTACATAACTAAATTTTATGCCAGTATACTACTGAAGTTACCGTGCACTATGCCACTATCGTGCACATTCAGTTCATGATTTAAAGATAACGAAACTATATTGCCAGATGAACGCGAGCATTCAGACTTTCTTCCACTAATAAACTTGACTACACGGTCGAATTTACTTATACATATTGTGGGCATTCCTTATGCGCTTCTTCTCATTTATGCATTATCATAATCATCATCATTCGTCTGGGTCCCTGTACTCATCTTTATTGGGTGTCACCACAATCATCATCGGGTGTGTGCACGCTCGGTCTCAGACTGCACGTTCGCTGCTGAGCCCTTGGGCTGAATAAACGCTGTCTCAACCCAGACGTCATACCTGGTGGAGATGGATTTTCGATCCTCGGTCCTTTCCCACTTCGCTCGACTTCCTGGAGCTGCGTTCAGGCCGCAGATTGCCTCCACTGTCTGGCAGTATGTCACAGAACGAGCCTGCTAGTGCTGCTGCCATCGCTGCAGCCACCTCTCCCCCGCTGTCTTCAGCCGCGCCTCCTGTTTACGTACACAGCTATCAGCGTGATCCCCCTCCCTTCGCCAGTTTTCGCGGGGAAGACGTGGAGGACTGGTTCGATGAGTACAGCCGTTTGAGTGTTGCTAATCACTGGGACGATAGCGCCAAGCTCTGTTACGTCTCTCTATTTGACCGGTGTGGCGAAGACATGGTATTTCAACCACGTCATTGACTTACCCGGCTGGGCGACCTTCCAGCACCAGCTGCGACATGTTTTTGGGACACCGGCCATTTGTTTCGCCGTCGCGAAGAGCACCCTCGATACTCGCCGACAACATCCCAGCGAATCTCACACTTCCTACATTGAGGATGTCCTTTCACTGGGCCTGCGTGTCAATTCATCTATGCCGGAATCGGACAAAGTACACTGATGGGCATTGCACCTGTTACTTTTAATGCCCTCGCTGCGCACAATCCAGCTACCATCGCTGACGTCGTCGCGACGTGCCAGCGCCTTGATTCGCTATACTCCGTTCGTCTCCAACCAGACATTGGCGACCACCACTCCACGTCCCATGGTCATCTGCGTGACCTCATCCGGGACATTATACGAGAAGAATTGCGGTCTATTGGCTTCACACCTCCTTCACCACGTTCAACACAGTCTTTGGGAGTTCCTTTGCGTGACCTCATTAGGGAGGAACTTACATCCCTGACTGGCCCTGATCTCGTACAACCTCCTGTTTCTCACCCCATATCAACCTTCGCTCAAGTCGCTGCCGCACCTCCGAGCAACGTACACGTCACATTGCCGCAACTATCCTACGCGTCGGTTGCTGCCGCTCCCCCGGGCAACTACTGTTCGATGCCACCTGACCCTTCTTCGGCCCACTTGAACGCGCTATCTCCAGATGCCTCTAACGCCTTCTACTTCGCACCCTGGCGCTCGTCCCGCCTTGTCTGCTATTAATGCGGCTATCGTGGCCACAAATCTCGTTTCTGCCAAAAGATCCAGCAAGATGAGCGTCGGGGTTACGACATGCGTGAACGGGATTGGTCTACCGAGGCCTCTCATCAAGGTTAGCGTTATTCTTCTTCTCCACACTGGTCTCCATCTCCAACGGTATGGAATGCACCACGGAACAGCCGAAACACGAGACGCCGCTCGCCTTCGCCCTTCCGTCGTTCCTCTTCTCCACTTCGACCCGCCCCATTCTCCTCTAATAGTCATGCGGAAAACTAAATGGTGCAGTTTGTTGAGGAGAAACTGCATTTGAAGTTAGAACTGAAATTTCTCTATCAGGCCCGTGTAACATGGTTTCTGTGGAAGTGGAAGGAGTGCGTGTCGAGGCTCTGGTGGACACGGCTGCGGCATTTTCTGTTATGCGTGCTGATTTGGACCAACATCTGAAGAAAGTGATGACCCTTTACGATAGACCTGCGTTGATTGCTGCTCAGGGGTATACCATTCGCCCTTCCACTTTCTGTACAGCCCGCGTTTTTATTGATAATATCCGACATCACATTCACTTCGCTGTCCTTACTGACTGCTCTCACCAATTAATTTTAGGGTGGGATTTTCTTCTGCCTCCGCGGCTATTTGCTGTGGCCAACGCGTCCTCTACCTCACCGACGCAGACTGCACGCTCAACGACAACACCTAGAGGCCACTTCGTTTGACAGCTGCGGAGGATACCGAATTACTACCAGGTCAAGAGCGAATTGTAACTATTACCTCCAAAGACATCGACGATGGTGACGTCTTGGTCTCACCATCATTTCGGGCATCGTTCTCGCTTCCGGCATAGTTAGTTTCCTCAATGGTTCCGCACTTGCCACTGCCATAAATTCAACATCTGAAAAAATTCTACTTCCCCAGTGCACCTCGGTAGGCTGCGTGACCAATCCCGAGCCTGCGTGCGTCATGCCACTTCATGCTGTCTCCTCCAACGACCGCCCTAGTGGTGAGCCTGCATCTTTTTCCGCATTTGCTGCAGCCATTAGCGACGGCTTGACACCTTCACAAACGCAACAGCTGCTTGCTTTGTTAAAGAAGCACGCAAGTTCTTTCGATGTTTACTCCTAGACGTTGGGCCGCACTACTAATACAACGCATCGAATCCACACAGTCGGAACATCTGTTGTCTGCCACCAGCCCTGCTACGTGTCTCCTGCTGAGAGAAAAATTATCGAGGAAAACGTAGCTGACATGCTCAAACGAGAGGCCATTTGCCCCTAATTTAGCCCTTGGTCGTCGCCTGTGGTTCTGGTTCGTTAGAGGGATGGCTCCGTGCGCTTTTGCGTCGATTAAAGGGTGCTCAACAACATAACTCGCAAGGATCTGTACCCAACGCCTCACATTGACGACGCCCTTGATTCTCTACAAGGCGCGAAATACTTTTCCAGCCTCTACCTGCGTTCCGGGTACTGGCAAATTAATATGCACGAAGCGGATAAAGAGAAAACGGCATTCGCAACCCCCGACGGGCTATACGAATTCAACGTTATGCCTTCCGGGCTGTGAAATGCACCCGCAACTTTTGAGCGCATGATTGATACCATGGTGTGCGGCCTCAAATGGGACACCTGCTTCCGCTACTTCGACGACATCATTATTTTTTTGACAATATTTCCTCAGCACCTGCAACGTTTGGAATACGTTCTGACGTGCCTTGCCACGGCTGGTCTCTAACTCAACACCAAAAAATGCCGTTTCGCCACAAAAGCTATCAAGGGTTTAGGCCACGTCGTGAGCAAAGACGGGATTCGGCCGGATCCAGACACAATTGCTGCGATGCTTCGCTTTCCTCGCCCCGAAAGGCTGAAGGAGTTGCGAAGTTTTCTTGGTCTCGCCTCCTATTTTCGCCGTTTTATACGGAACTTCGCATCAATAGCGGCTGCACTGCACCAGCTCCTTGCTTCCCACGTGCCCTTTCTGTGGTCGGAAGAATGTCAAACGGCCTTAGACCTGTTAAAGTCCGCCCTCACGTCTGAACCTGTACTCCGTCACTTTGATGAGGCGGCACCGACCATCCTACATACGGACGCTAGCGGCCGCGGTATAGGGGCCGTTCTGCTCCAACGCAACACCTCTTCACAAGAGAGAGTAGCTGTATATGCCAGTAGAGTACTAACCACGACCGAGAGGAACTATACAATAACTGAGCAGGAGTGCTTGGCTATGGTCTGGTCAGTGCAAAACTTCCGTGCCCATTTCCACGGCCATCATTTCGCGATTGTTACGAACCATCACGCCTTAAGCTGGCTTTCCACGCTGAAGAACTTGCCTGGACGCTTGGGACGGTGGATTCTACGTTTAAAGGAGTATGCCTTCGATATAATTTACAAGTCAGGTAAAAAACACCAAGACGCCGACGACATTTCGCGCTGCCTATTACCAAATACCCCGCACAGCATCGGTCAAATTTCGGCCATCACTTCTACTGCAGCGCCAGCGCTCGCCTCAATAGACCAGCTATTCTCGGACGACAAGCGCACAGTTTACTCCTGCCAGTTGTCTGATCCGTACGGTAGGCGTATCATGGACCAGCTCTCAGGAGCTTCCCATCCACTTAACGCACGGCATCATCGCCAACTCTTTCCATTTAAGCTGGAGAATGGAGTTCTGTACCGTCACATCTACCACCCTGATGGTCAACGCTGGGTTCCTGTGCTACCACGCTCTCTTCGACTTGACGTGCTTAAAGCCTTCCACGACGACTTGACTGCCGGACATCTTGATATTAAAAAAACTCATGACCGCATTCAAAGTCGCTTCTACTGGCCTGGTATTTCTACAAGCATCGCGCACTACGTCGGTTGCTTGTCCCGTGCCTGCGTCGTAAAATCCAGACAACTGCACCGGCCAGGCCTCTACAGCCAATTCCGTGCCCCAAAACGCCATTTGAGATAGTAGGCATTCACCTTTATGGCCCTCTTCCCGTCACATTTACTTGCAAACGATGGATAGTGACCGCCGTCGACCACTTGACGCGCTACGTGGAGACACTGTACCAACTGCTTCTGCTTCGGAAGTTGCCGACTTCGTTCTGCACGCCATCATTCTGCGCCATGGCTCCCCTCGTATATTGCTGAGCGACCATGGAAGGGTGTTCCTTTCAGAAGTGCTAAATGAAATATTGCGCGCCTCTGGAATAACACACAAGTCAGCTTCAAGCTACCAACCTCAGACCAATGGTCTCACCGAGAGGTTTCACCGTACTCTTGCTGATATGATAGCCGTCTACATCAGTCCAGATCAAAAAAACTGGGATACTCTTCTACCATTCCTCACCTTTGCCTACAACACGACCATTCAGCGCACCACTGGTTATTCACCATTCTACCTTGTTTATGAACGTTCCCCCACTTTCTTCCTCCACGTTTCCTTTTTCAACAGTGACGTCTACTCGTCTCCGTCTTCCAGCGGGGAATACATTTCAAGACTAGCCCGGTGTCGCGATCGTGCTCGCATCAACACGGAAGCGTGACAGCAAGATCTAACAGTCAATTATGACGCATCCCGTCACCTTGTATTCTTCCGACCTGGTGACGAGGTGCTCCTGTTTACACCTATTCGTACACCTGGTCTGTGTGACAAGTTTCAGCCACACTTCCTTGGGCCTTACATAGTTATCGAACAGACTTCGCCAGTTAATTATCGCGTGACTCCACTTGTCGTCCCAACAGACCACCGTCACCACGCCACAAAGATCGTGCACGTGTCTCGCATGCATAAAGCCTTTAGGGCGACGTTCTCTGTCACATTGACTTCCTACGGCCAGGTTGGCCGCTTCGATGTGGGGGAAATTAGTGTGGGCATTCATTAAAGCTTCTTCTGATATATGCCTTATCATAATCATCATCATCCGTCTGGGTTCCTGTCCTCATCTTCTTTGGGCGTCACCACAATCATCATCGTGTGTGTGCGTGCTCGGTCTCAGACTGCCCGTTGACTGCTGAGTCCTTGGGCTGAATAAACGCTGTCTCAACCCAGACGTCATAATATTTTCTTTCAGCATTAGATACAAACGGCGCAAAAGCTGGTTACAAAAGCTACTCTTGTCTTAAAAAAGAAGCATTTACAGCGACCATGACTCCAATCTTTAGGGGCGAAGCTCCTTATGGCGTGGCTTGTGCGTCCCTCGTTGTAGTGCGTAACCACCAGTGGCGCACACGCGTAAGAGCGGTCCTTAGATTGTCTGCTGGATGGCGGCACTTGTATATCGTGAACACAAAATGAAAAAAAAAAAAAAAACGTGAGATGGCTGTACTTGGAGTGTTCACTAGATAGGTGGACAGACGGACGGACGGACGGATGGATGGATGGACGGACGGACGGACGGACGGACGGACGGACGTACGGACGGACGGACGGACGGACGGATGGATGGATGGATGGATGGATGGATGGATGGATGGATGGATGGATGGATGGATGGATGGATGGATGAATGGATGGATGGATCGATGGATGGATGGATGGATGGATGGATGGATGGATGGATGAACAGACAGACAGAAGGACGGCTGCACGAACAGACGCCCAGACGGACAGACGGAAGTACGGACGGACGTATGAACAGACGCACAGATAGACGCGTGGACAGACGCATGGACGGACGGAAGCAAGAGCAAATGGACGGATGGAAGCACGGGTGGACGGAAGGAAGCTTCACCCCACAAATCATCATTCACTCCGTGGATAGGCTGCGATTTTTTTTATGTGAACCCTGATGCCAAACTGGTGTGCTAACAAATAACTAACCTATCATACGAACAAAACAATAATTAATAGCGCGTATTCCAATGCTTAGATGTAGGTTATTGTACTTGCGGAATGTACGGTGCTCGGGTTAGCTTCGTGGTGTATGTTAGCTTTTCGTTAGCGACTCAGCACACAAAACATATGACAGAGCCTTTCCTATTGTGTCATACTTTATAAAGATATCTACTTTCATATGAAACACTCCTGTTTTTTTGTTGACTTCGTAAGAACGTAAATATTTCTTTTCACTGTTAAGATTCTTTTATTTACTTTTATGATTTATAAAGGTGGTGGTGGCGTTCACTTAGCAGGCACCGGTCTAGGTGTTGGAGGAATTGGGTCTGGTGGTGCAGGTGAGTGCCTCCATTACTAATCTATCTATTTACTATGATCAGCTTGGTTTGAACAAATATACGCATAATAAAAATTATCACCCCGCAATTACTTACAACGAACATAAAGGGCATGCCAACCAAAAAAAAAAGCTAAGAAAGACATTTATTGGAAGATGGCACAGTGTACTCTGTCATCCTGAGTGCTATCAGTAGCACCACTCTTCAAAGACTGTCGGCACAATTTCCTCGAATGGAGCACGAAGCGGGTCTTTATTATTACCAAAGTATAAATTTATGTAGTTATTTTTCGTGATTGTATTTTTAACACAACTATGGTACCATACTATACGTTTGATCTCATAGTTTCACCTCCTAACTTCAAATCGTCACCTTGGTCATCGTTTGCCTTCTCTGGTTTTATTGGTACCGTACGTCAGCACTATTAATTCTTAATCTACCCTATATACTACAAACAGTGACGCAAGCTAAATTATGCATTCATTGACGCATAAAAGCATGGCGTATTCCTTCGTCATCGGTATCCGCATAATATAGAGGTGAAAGGTGTCTTCGCACATGTAAATACTTGAGAGTTTTTTGTACATTGTTTCACCTCAAGGCTGAAGGAATAAATTCTACAGCAACAAATGATAATGACATGCAAAGCAGCTCGAAAGTTGCAGTACGCTCCCCAAGCAGTAAAGACGCACAAAAAACATACACACGATGAGCGAGAGCTAACTGCTGTCACAACTGCAACTTTTTTTGTGTGCGAGGAGCACTGTTCTATTGCGAACATGGCTGCTGCAGCGAGAGAAGTGACCTTAGTGCTCGCTGTAAGTTCTGGTCAAGCAAAATACGTAGAGGCCACTCCCTTTAAGACACAAACGCGCGCGCACGAGCAACCACGATCTGTAGAGGCACGCGGGCATTGCATTGCGCGGGGCGACACGCCTTCCGCACCTGATAACGCCATCTCGCTACTGATAACAAGAGCAGGCTAGAGTCACCAAGCTCTGAATACCTCCACAGAAATGTGGTATCTTAATAGATCACCATCAATGCATCGAAGAACGTACGGTCGGTGGCCAAGTTGTATCAAGATTCGCGACCCACTCTCTGGAACAGAACATCGTTAATTCAACTCTAGAGGGAATAACTTTTAAGACAAGAGTCTTTTTGGGGTACTTCGGCGCAAAAAGTTTGGTCTATATGTCTGTCTGTACATTTGTCTGTTTGTCTGCTGTAACGATATTCTAAACAACGCCAGAACATGTCGTCAACCAAAGAGTGCCACAGGGCAGCGTACTAAGCCCTACTCTCTTTAATGCAGTCATGGCGCAGCTCCCGTATAATCTTTCACCTAACATCAGATGTTTAGTATATGCTGATGATATAAAAGTATATGGACGTCTGGTCCATCGTTTTTGGATGTACAACAAACTCTGCAAGAAGCATTTTCTAAAAAAAAAATGAGGTATGGCAATGAGTCTGGCTAAAACAGCTATACTTCCGTTTACATTAAAAAGACCTGGAAATTTCCAGATTATTCTGCAAAATCAGCCTATTCAAATGGTTTAAACTTATAAATTCTTGGGAGTAATTTTAGACCGGAGACTAACATGGTCGCCTCATGTCCAGTCCCTGGAACAAAAAGTGAATCAGACCATTCGAATCCTCAGGCATCTCTGCGGGGCCAAATGGGGTGGTACTAGAGTCGTTATCAGCCCTACATGTTGCCTGGATACGCCCCATCGTAACCTACTCAATGCCTCTGCTGCACGGACTTCCAGCCTCCACCGAAAGGAGACTTCACTTGTTATTGGCAAGGAGCTTGAGGGTATGTCTGGGTTTACCACGGCCAACTTCCAGTGCTTTAGTGTATGCGGAGGCTTGAGAGCCACCTTTGGCAGTACTCCGAAATAAAGAAACATCGCGAAATTTATTTAGAATTTTCACGCAACATGAAAGTCATTTTTTATCTTGTGCACTAACACAAAGGACGGCAACAAGACTACAGGATACGATATCATCATTTCAAGCAGTAGTACCAGAATTTAAACAATGAAAACCTTCAAAACCACCTTGGACGCTGCCACTTCTCAACGTTATCCGTGAAATAGACGGCATAGAGAAGAAAGCAGACATGGCACCTCTAGTAGCGGCACAGTTGGTACTTCATCAGCTTCATGTAATGCATAATGAAAAAACGAAGATATATAGAGGCGGATCATGCACAGAAGAAGCGTCAGCCTGTGCGGTCTTTATACCCGAAATTCAGAAAAAGAAGATGTACAAATTATCGCACAAATCTTCATCGACGACAGCAGAATTGGTGGCTATCTTTGAAGCAGTTAAGCTTATCTGCGAGAATCCCGAGCCACGAAAATGGGTGATATGCACTGATAGCAAGCCTGCTCTTCAGCTAATCAGAAATGTGAGATCACCTTACAAAAATGGTGAAATAGCACAATGTATCGCAGAAACTGTGGAATATGCCTCATCGCAGGGTCACAACATCGTATTCCAATGGATACCCAGCCACATTGGAATAAAGGGAAATGAAGATGCTGATAGTCTCGCGAAGAAAGCATTGAAGGAAGGACTGGATTGCACAATCCCTATGTCTGGGGCGGATATTCAGCATTTTATATCGCAAGGAGCTAACCATTGTTCGATGGAGAAGTGGTTTGAGAGCCCTAAATCAAAGGAAACGGTACTTTATGAAGTTGACCCACACAGAAAATTTTCCATAGCGACAGACCTCTCACGACACCTAGAGACATTGATCCACCGACTTAGATTGGAAGTAGCATACAGAAACAGCTTCCTGCACAAGATACATCGATCCAACTCACCGGAATGTCATTGTGGTCATGCAGAAGAAAATGTTCGTCATATTCTTTTGGAGTGCGTTAAATACGCGAATGAAAGAGAAAAATTAAAGAACAAATTAGCAAGTTTGGACAGACGGCCCCTCACAATAAAGAAACTACTTGGACCATGGCCTGAGATGCATCTCCAGAAAAAGGCAATAATCTTCCTGACAGAATTTTTAGTGGAGACCGGACTGGACAAGCGCCTATGACTGACAGCCAGAGATGGGTATTATGTAAAATGTGGTCATGTATATACTGACATTAGATTAGTAGGGTGTGCTTGTAAGTAGTTTATCACTGTTTGAACTGCGTGAAGAAAACTGTGTATTGGCATGTTATTTGAACGGGTTTCAGTGTGTTATTATGTGTTTTTTTTCATATTATTAATTTTTGGGTACCGTTCTGTATTATTATTTTATTTTTCGCTGCAGAACTTTGTGATATGGAGTAGCCGAGGCAATAGGCACCTCAACCTCTCCACAGCAAAACAGTTAAAACAGAACACACCAGAACAGATATTCTAAACAGCACCAAGCGATACCCCTAACGGCCAACCTCATCCGCAGCGCCCATCATAATGCTCAAGTTTCCGCGTTCATACTTGTGTGATTGTCAATCAAAAAGCGATTATTGCGCATATTTGAGGCACCTTAACAACACGTCAATATTTTGTATGTGGGTCTTTATACTAGATAAATCACACATTAGTGATTCTAAGGCCCGTAGCGTATATCACGCTCCGTCGACAATGCAACGCGATGATAAAAAAATTGGCAGCATATCCACGGCGTGAATGATGGAGAGTGGAGCGAAGCATTCGTCCGTCCATTCATTCTTGCTTCCGTCCATCCATGCGTCCGTGTGTGTGACCGTCCATGTGTCAATCCGCCCGTCCGTGCGTGCGTCTGTTCGTGCGTCCATCCCTGCGTTCGTCCATGCATCCGCCCCTGCATCCGTTCATGCGTCCATCCATGCATCTGTCTGTGTGTCCGTTCGTCCACCTACTCAACACTCCAAGTACCACCATCTCGCATCTTTTCATCATATATTCCCCATATAGAAGCACCGCCATCCAGCGTACATTCCAAGGACTAAACGAGAGGTGGCACACGCACGCTTTCTTACGGCTTGCACTTCGGGTCTACTTCCCACCTTTAACCACCTCGAGTTCATGGTACATACTAGTTCATTGTATTCATAGCACTGCGGCTGAACGCTCGCTAAATATTTCTAAAACTAAGGAGGTTACACCCAGCGAGTATAACGCAGCAACCTTTCTTGTCAGATAGTGCTCAATGTACATGCCATGGCTGCTAATGAGGATCACAGCGTGTGCGTTAACTAAAAGCCGGATGCTCCTGTCTCTCATTCCCTATTAGCAGCCATTGTCATGTAAATTGAGCACTATTTTTAATTGCTCAACAACGCACAGAAGAAATCTCTCACAGGCACCACCTCGGAGGTCAAAATGTTATACTTGTTACATACTACAACGGCTACGAGGGATGAGCGGGTGTCGGTCGTTATAAGGAGCTTTGCCCTAAAAGGCAAGTGTTTCCAACGCTTTGCTAAGAAGACACGGTGGCGGCATCTGCCCGTCGCTTTGCATTCTACACCGTATCTACTCCGAGACAGGCGCGCATCTTTCTCCGTGGGCGTGCACGCCTTCCTTCGTTTTCAAAGATAACTGCCAGATAGCGCTCGTGTCTAGCGTGCCTCGATACGCTCGTTCGCCTTCGCTGCACGGATCGGGACTCTAACGCAGCGCTTCCAAAATACAATTGACCGATTTTCTCGCGCAGAACATCAAATATTCTGATCCCTCTCTCCGCACGCAAGGCTATCATCTTTCGACGACATTTGCAGTGAAACATGCTGATACGGGGCCAATTTTCTTTCCTTCTAGTTTTTGTCTTTATTATCATTATATAGATATTCTACTAGCCATTTTCATCATAGAATTGCGTCAGCAAAGCCATGGTGGAGCCCGGCATAAAACACGTTTGTATTAAAAACTTGCTTTCCTCTCTTTCATCCTACCAATGTTCGCACAAAGTTCATTGGTCTGGCATTCCTCAAAACTATAGTGTACATGGCTGCTAGCATAGGAGCTGTTCTAAACATACAAAACTATTCGAGTGCTTGCATACAAAACTATTCGAGGCTTCGAGTGCTTGCCAAACTGTGCATCATAAGCACAACATTTTTTGCCGAGCTTATAATACACGAACCACCTCGTGTTACAGCCAGTCTGTCTTCATCACGATGGATAGCAATATTTAGGGCACGTAATATTGCTGGTACCTCATCAATTCGTATCGCGCTGAAATCAGTATCATGTGCATGCAGTGGCATGGAGATCTTGCCGATGGTCACCTTTTACAGACCCATTTCATGCTGAAGCTTCTGATTGTCCCAATCGACCATATAGTATCATACTCTGACCATTGTAGTTCTTATGAAAGCTGGATGATTATATTGTCTCGCATAATGTTGAAAACTCTTATTTGTTATTCTGTTTTGCGTTACCCATTTCAGTATCTTAGGCGCAAAAAATCTTACCTGTACTCAAACCTTTTGTTATTGATCGATCATGCGCTATAATCCCGTTTACTCACGATTGTTTAAAGACTGCTAAAATTAATCACACAAAAGGTCTCGGCTTGTTAATATCTATTTTCTATTAGTACAAAAGCAACAAGTTATAAAAATATTTTTCATTGACAAACAGCAATGACGAAGAATGACTTCTCATTTTTTTCTTGGCCCTGAAAATGCTTTCACTATTGATCAACAGGAGGAAGCTAGGCATACTTACATTGGTACCAGTTTGTTACATACTACGGTCATAGAAAAAATAATGGCGAAGTATGCGCTAAGCCGTGTATCGCTTGACATAGCGAAACTGGTCGATTCTGAAGGGTATTGTGGTTGCGTAATGGCTGTTTCTAGGGATTGGCTAAATGATGACGGCTGTTTCTAGGTTGATTCCAGATCGTGGTCATTGCTACGTTAGGTGATGCGAGATTGTCCTTAAGATGGTTCTCAGCGCAGAAAGGTTTGATTAAACTACGGACAGCCCCAGATGCTCAGACTCGAGAGATATTGAATGTGCAGAAACCAAGTGTTCGCTCTTCTCATATCCTCATGGACACGACACGTATGTCCTAATTCTGTAGAAAGAAAACAACGCTGAAACCAAGGTTTTGCACCTCCGATAGATCCACGGGCAAGTCATCGATGGCGCAGGCCTTCCATCGCTTCGGGGTCTTCTCGCCGCCGCCATTGGCTTTCCTGTTCTCTCGTATTATGATAACCGTTGCCTTCTTCTTCAGTGGATCAGTGGTGAATAGTGTGATTTATCCTATCGCTGTAGCACATACCTGATAGGCCACACAGGATAGGCCTCACCGAATAACGGCTGCCCTAAACAGTCTTTAGATGGATGTTCTATCATTGCATTCTCTAAGCACCATCAGTAAAATGTACGCAGTGCGTGTGTCTAATGTTTATGCAATAAACATAGCTTACGCGCACCTATGAATGCGCGAACTATAGTCAGGTGTTACCTGACTATGCGTGCGACAGCTACTTAAGATAACCACGTCCACACACATCAGCCTCCTATTCCTGTCGATAAAATGGACCAGCCTGCTGTAACGTCTGTGTCCATGTTACGTCGGGCCGAGCTGTACCCTTTAAAAGTCAGTCTACACGGTGGGCCTGATAATCGTACGGTATGCGCAAAACTAAAATTTACTCAAATACACTAACTCACTTCATAGAACTTGATTCAAAGCAAAAAGCCGGGCATAACTGCTACTTGCTGACTGCTCCACATAAATTTGATTCCTACAGAGCGTGGGACCTCCCTTATGTTCAAGCGCTATTTATCGCTTGCTCTGGTATCAGTACATTTTTCTCTTTTCTTGGTACATGAGGTATTATCAAACAGTGAAGATATGTCTATCCAGTGTGTTATTGTTCGTGTAAAACTCCGAACTGCAATTGAAATTCTTTTTTTTCTTCATTTTACTGTATTTCTAATATCTACACCACTACTTAGTATTGTGCATGAGTAATATCATCAGTAGCTTTCTAAGTAGGCTGATAGTAACTGAGAAAAAATATGAGGAAGAAGACGCAGTGTATCATGTAAGCGAAATAAAACAGTCCGACACTGTAATGGCCGGTGAAACACGCAATTAGAAAGGAGAAAATCTGCAGTGTATTCACAATGCAGAGTGTTTTTCTTAAGTATTACCGTTTTTAATCAAATTGATATGATATTCAAGCCCCTAATATCATCGCAAGTAAACTCTACGTCGATGCGGAAAAACATTACCGTACCTATATTGTTACGGTCAAAAGATTATGAACAAAATACCTTTAACTAATTTTTTTTTTATAATCCACCTGAGCGCAGGCTGTGATAATGTTGAAATGTTGCAGAACATGACAATTCAATTAATATTCATTTTTAAATTGCATGCCTCACAAAAACAGGTGCAGTGTAGGATTTGAACAATCACTTTTAAACGATAGATAGATAGATAGATAGATAGATAGATAGATAGATAGATAGATAGATAGATAGATAGATAGATAGATAGATAGATAGATAGATAGATAGATAGATAGATAGATAGATAGATAGATAGATAGATAGATAGATAGATAGATAGATAGATAGATAGATAGATAGATAGATAGATAGATAGATAGATAGATAGATGTAACAGATCATTATGTACTCTCAACAATAGGAGCCTCTAGTGGCGGAATCGCTGTAGGCAGTGGTGCTCAAGGCGGCCTCACAAGGGTTACCAGTGTTGGTAAGTTGAGCTCTTATCTACTCGGAGGAATACAAAGGAATACGTGAACGATCGTGAGCTATGACATTGCTGTGATCGCGATATAGGATGCACTTCATTTTGACAAAACTGACGTATGGGCTCTATTGTGATCGCCGACGTTACGTCGGACCATAAGCCATCCTATAGACGCCAGTTTGGCCGACATGCTTGGCAAGTCCTTCGTTTGAATATAACTAAATTTACAAAATGTCGTGGACCATACCTTGTAACACTTGAATCAACGGTATGAACAATGACTACAACATTATTATTATTATTATTATTATTATTATTATTATTATTATTATTATTATTATTATTATTATTATTATTATTATTATTATTATTATTATTATTATTATTATTATTATTATTATTATTATTATTATTAAATCTACTTGCCTTAGGACTCACGAAATCTTTTACCGCGGAGAATCTTTTCTATATGCGATTCGGAGTTAGGCGAAGAGTGTCATAATTCTAATCGGTTTCTATTTTCTTGTTCGGCCTGCACGCACTCTCTTCATCTTCTCCACGCTGTGCTGATTTACCGAGAACATGTGCCGGGCTGTTATCTTCCTTTCTGTCCTCTATTAATTTGCTCCCAGAACACGTGCACCGATTCGTCTGTGGGGATGGGAGGGATCAACTCTGACGAATACATGAACGAGTATAGTGAAATAGAGATAAATGAAGACTGAAGAAGACAAATATCTCTGGAGAAAAAGCTTTCCTCGTGAGGTAAGATTCAACCAACGATCTGAAGGCGAGTGTTGTAGCTCGATTATCCAGGCCCGCTAGCAGAGCAAAGCACAGCCTTATATGGTATAGAAAGATGGTGGGAAAGGCAAGTAAGAGCAATAGGGAGAGAAAGCAAGAGGAAACGGAGTAAAGCGTAACATAGAAATAATGAGAAAGAAAGAAAGAAAGAAAGGAAGAACACAAATAGTGATGAAGCGAAATAGAAAGAGAGGGAATCAAAGAGGACGAGGAAGAAGGGGAAGAAAGGAAGGAAGTACAGAAGGGTTAACATTGTGCCAAAATAATGCCGTCGTGTTAAAACAAAGTAATCATATTTCCCTAGCCTCAATAATCCCAAGCTATTGACTTAAATTACGCGCCGCCTTCCTGGCCGATCCCCCTTAGTGGGTAAGAGCTACAAGAAAGGATCAAGCAAGGAAGCAAGCCGGAAGGCAATCAACCTAAAAGATACAAAGAAAGAAAAAGCAATAAATAGAGAAACATAGACAATGTTAAGAAAAAAATTCCGCCATATCCACGAAGTGAATGATGATGAGTGGGCGAAGCTCCGGAGGTAAACCTGGTAAACCATGAATCCTCTGTACATTTTGCCCACTCGATTTTATTATATAGCTCCCCCTAGCGCACGTCGCCGCACTAAATCGAACGATTGCCTTCAACCAATGACACGCGCCATATGTGACATCATTCCTATTTTATAAGATCTCGCGTCTTTCATCAACTACAAGTACCGCTTTCTAGTTTATAACATCTTGCATCTTTTCATCATCAGCTACAAGTACCACCATCTAGTAAACACTACAAGAACTAAACGAGAGGTGGCTACATACAGGAGACGGTACCGCCATCTATTGAACACTGCAAGAACTAAACTAGAGGTGGTTACATGGATGGATGGATGGATGCTATGAGCGTCCCCTTTATAACGGGGTGGTGACAAGTATGCCACCAGGCTAGACAAAAAAAAAAAACCTTTTTTCTTTTTTTATGTTGGCCTAATGCCTCTACTTCGATAAATTCTATCTTAATGGAAAAAAAGGTAAATTTTCAGCTTAAGTTCTCTGCCATTTACGGCACACTGTCCATATTTTATTTTTCCAATATTTATTTTTGTCCTTTCTCTCTAATTTTCTGCCACCAATACTCTAACCGTCTCTTACTTATTTCAATCGCGGGTGTGTTCAGCTTTCCATTGTTGTCCCTAAAACCCAAGGCTTCCTGTAGGCTCGTGCCCAAACGTACACCTGGGTGGATATCTCCACATTCAATCAGAACATGCTCCGCCGTTTCCTTATCTTTCCCGCAGCATGTGCATTGTTCTTCTTCTTTACTGAATCTTGCTTTATAACTACGCGTTCTAAGGCAACCCGATCTCGCTTCAAACAGTAAAGCGCTTCCCCTTGAATTATCGTAAAATGCCTCCCTCCTTATTTCATTTTTGCCCTTTCGGTAGTTACTCAAAGCCGGTTTTTTCTCCATAGCTGCCATCCAGTAAATCCTCTCCGCCTCCCTGACTTTTCCCTTAACGCTCTTTGTTGACATATGGCTTACAATACCAGCCGTATATTTACTAGTGAGTCTTCTAGTTCTTTTTCTCCACTGTGTGTCCACGCTCTTCCTATACAAATAACGGAACACCTTCTCTGCCCATCTACTCTCCTTCATATTTCTTAGCCTTTCTTCGAACCTTATTTTGCTCTGCGCTTCCCTCGCCTCAAAACCTGCCCACCCCATATCGCCCTTTACAGCCTCGTTTGCCGTCTTCCCGTGAGCACCCAACGCGAGGCGTCCCACAGTCCTTTGATTTACATCCATTCCCGATTGTACCTCTGCCCTCATGCACACCACTGAGTTCCCAAAAGTAAGCCCTGGAACCATTACACCCTTCCACAGACCTCGAAGCACCTCATACCTATTGTATCCCCACAACGCTCTGTGCTTCATTATTGCCGCATTCCTCTTTCCTTTTGCTGCCGAGGCTTTTTCCTGTACCTCCATGTATCTATCACTCTCATTTACCCATACTCCAAGGTACTTGTATTCACTTACCCTCGGTATTTCTTGGCCTTGTATGGACACCGTCTGATCACAGGGATCATTGAATACCATCAATCCACACTTCGTTACACTGAATCCTAGTCCAAGAGCTTCACCTTCCCTTCCGCATATATTCGCCAGCTGCTGTATATCATCTCGACTGTCCGCAAATAAGACGATATCGTCCGCATAAAATAAACCTGGAAGCTTCTGCTCAATCATCATGCCGCCCTGTTTGTGTGACAGATTAAAACCAATGTTGCTACCTTCTAGCGCTTTTTCCATACTCACCATGTACAGCATGAATAACAGCGGGGACAAAGGACATCCCTGTCTCAGACCCCTGCTAACCTCAACGTTCTCTTTGCTACGCATTCCTTCCCACTCTATGCAAACTGTATTTTCTCGGTATATCTCCCTCAAAAGCTGTATACAGTCGTCGCCCATGCCCATTCCTTTCAATATATCCCACAAAATTTCCTGATTAACGTTGTCGTATGCCCCAGTGATGTCTAGAAAAGCCACGTACAAGGGCCTATTCTCTATTTTAGATATTTCTATACACTGAGTGAGAACAAACAGGTTATCGTCTAACCGCCTGTCGACTCGAAATCCGTTCTGAAGTTCTCCCAAAATATCGTTATGTTCGGCCCATGTTTCTATTTTCATTTTTACTGCTTGCATCGCCAACCTGTATAGTACCGATGTAATGGTTAGTGGTCTATACGAGCGAATCTTGTCCTTTTCTCCCTTGCCTTTATAGATTAAGTTCATTCTACTTTGTCGCCAACTGTCCGGTATTTGTCCGTCCTTTAAGCCTTTTTCTACTGCTTTTAACAATGCTTCTTTAGTGTTATGTCCTAGTTCGTTAATGAGGCTAACGGGAATCCCATCTAAACCCGCGGCAGTGCGCTTTGGAATTTTTCCTTCGGCCTTTTTCCAGTTGAAATTATCAAGTACTAGCTCTTCCTCTGTTGCTTTCTCCGCCACACTTTTACTCACCGGAGAGATCCCCTGGACGCTCTTTTGAAACCAATCGGCTGTTACCTTTTGGATGTAACCTAGCGCTTCGTACCCTTCAAATTGATTTCCTCCTTCATCTAGAATATGTTGTTGCGTTGTGACAGACTTCCTACCTAGCGCCTTTATGTGGCTCCAAAAAATCCTAGGCGCGGCCTCCTTTTTTTCGTGTATCTCTGTCATCCAGCGTTCACTTTCACCTTTAATTTTTGCCTCTACCAATTTCTGTACAAGGGATTTTTTCTCTAAATATATTTCCCATATTTTTTTGACTTCGTCCTGCGGCCGCTTCTCCTTTTTTGCCTTTCTATGCTCCCGTGATGCTTCGCGTCGCTTCTCGATCGCCTCCCGGATTTCCTTGTTCCACCAACTTTTTGGCTTCCTTTTTCCTTTCCAGCAAACAGTTTTCTTCTCTTTCCCTATCTCCTTCGTCATTAGATGTAACAGCTCACTATACTCCCAGTCCTTGCCTGGTATTTCGCCTACTTCTTCCTCGACTCTTGCGGCTATATTTATTATTTGTTTGTCATTATTATTATTATTATTTATTATTTATTTAGTACCCACAGCGCCAGAGGCATTACAGTGGGGGAGGGGTTTACAGTCAGTCTGGACAGTTCAATATTTTGTCATATATAAAGCGTGGAAAACGGTAATAGCAACAACAACAGCTACAGCAGATCGACAACATAAGTTATTCACAGCAGTATGCAGTATATGTGAGAAACAAGAACACTACAAGGTTGAGTCACTTCAACAGGAAAAATAAGTGATTTGATATCGGAGTATAGCCACAATTCCCTTCTGCATACAGTGTGAGGACAAAAGAAAGAAGAACAAAAGATAAGAACAGTAATACATACAGTACGTCCTAAAAAGATCAAGAAACAATCATTTCAGCAGGGCAAAAAACATCTCATTGGAAACTACGTTGACGATGTCAGCAGGTAACCTATTCATTTAAATACGAGCTGCCAGACTTTGATTCCATGCTCATATTTTCAGTTTCGTATCCCATTTGTAATGTTATTCGTTTATGATCACTACCCAAGCTGTTAATGCCTTCCTCGTCTATCCTCATTTCTGTCAGTTTGTGGTAAATTCCTTCAGTCATGAGACAATAATCAATACTTGATTGCTTGTTTCCGACTTCCCATGTGATCTGGCCGTCACTTTTAGGCCCCGTGTTAACTATCTCCAGACTATGTTGCTCGCAAAGATCTAGTAATAACTTCCCATTGGTGTCTGAATATCCGTCAAGGTCATGTATGTGGGCATTCATGTCCCCTAGAAGGATGATTTCGGCCCCATTACCAAATTCCTTAATATCCGCACTCATGCAATCCACTATCTCCTGATTCTTTTCTCTGCAGTTATTCCCCGTCCACAAGTAGGCTACCCCTAGCCACGTTTCCTTTCCACCTACTGTGCCCAGAACCCAGAGGTGCTCTGAACACGTCTGTTTCACTCTAACCCATTTGGCTCCGCGGTGAATTAGCATTCCTACACCCCCACCTTTCCTTTCCGATATGGTCCTGTTACACCCTTCCCAAACATAATTTTTAATATGTGGTGGCTCTTCCAAGTCTCTAAGGTGTGTTTCTGTAACCGCATACACGCCTATCTGTTCTTTGTTTAACTGCTCCTCAATCTCTAACCATTTTGCCTTCTTTCTGCCACCCTGCATGTTTATGTAACTAATTGCAACACGCGCCTTTTTCCTTTTTCTTTTACCTTTTTTCTGGTTTTTCGCAATTCTACCTGTCAAAGCGTCCTCCTGGTTGTTTTCCCTGTTACGAGCTACCCCGGACTCCGAAGGGCCCGTGAGCCCCCCAAAAAAGCTACTGCGCGTCCTGCCAGTCGCCAGCCCACCTCGTGTCCAAGCCTCTTATCGAAATGAATCTTGTCTCTTTGGAATCCACCCCACCTGTGCACTTCCCTGTTTAAATCCACTACCTCGAAACCCTTCTCTCGACTAATTCGCCATATCTCTTTGTTTGCGTCGACAACCGCTCTTTGCAGGTTGACGTTGCGTACTGGTACTTCCGGTACTGTGCATACTACAATTTGCACCTGGGGAGACACGGTGCGCATGTCATCCACCCCTTCCGCCAAGGTCGTCGCTAGTCCTGACGATTCTTTTTTCAGGACGTCATTTAACCCTCCCGCAATTACAACGAGGTTACGATTGTTAGCTTTAGCTGCGAGTTGTTCACCCGCTTGACTCATTACTGTCCCCAGCGTTTGTCCTGGGAACGTCCCTATCGCAACTCTCTTGTCGCCTTTCACCCTTTCTTTGATTGCCGCTGCGCATCGGACTAAATTTGAGTCACCGGCGATGATGACCTGTTCAGACATTCCTTCTGAAACCTGCACCTGGCTGCTGACTAGGTGACTAGCGTGAGTCACGGCTGCTGGTTTGCTCCCTCCCTCCCTCAAAACTACTTCCCGGTAGCTGGGCCCTGTGGCCAATGTATCTGCCTTTGTCATGCCTGTTTCCTTCATCTCTCCCGCACGGGGGGTCGTCGCCATAATGCTTCCGCCGTCACCTGCGTCTTCGTTCCCTTTCACGACCTTCGATAGGCCCTTCTCGGCTGCCCGGAGCCTTTCTTCCATGGCTGACGTTTTCTCTCGCTCCTTCGCCAATGCATTCTCCAGCTCTGCGATTTTCTCCATGAGCCCACTCTGGACCGCCATCATATTTTTCATTTTCTCCTCGAACTCGCACTGTCTACACTTGGCGTCATCTTCTGCTTTCTCCTCCGCACTAATTTCCACCTTCCACCCTACCCCGCACTCTGAACACTTTACGGTCTTTTTGACCATGGCTAGCTCAGTTTACCGATGCCCACGTGTTAGAAAACTGTACTAAAATACACTGGTCTAAGCCAAAAAGAACCACAATAATAAATAAATACGCTACACTTCACAGCACCTGCGCATGCACGTGGTCGGTCTACGCGCAGGCCTCAGCCACGTGGTGGCTGGAGAAAAAAAAGACACAGTACAAAATACTAAAAAAAAACGTACACCGTACTAGACCTACTCAAGCTTTACGCTAGCGCCTTACGTTCTCATAACGCTACATACAGAGGCAAGCTGGAAACATGCAAAAACACTTATCTGTAGCTGTCATTCCGGAGCTCTCCAAAAACACGTCCGACCTCCAAAAACACGTCCGACACGTCCGACATGTCCGACATGTCCGACATGTCCGACATGTCCGACACGTCCGACATACAGGGGATGGTACCGCCATCTAGTGAACACTGCAAGAACTAAACTAGAGGTGGCTACATACAGGCTACAGGGAACGCACAGCCCACGCCCTAAGGAGCTTCGCCCCTAAAAGAAAGATGAAAATACCAAGACAAGTGAAAAAAATACGTCGAAGTTTACAAAGAAATAAATGGTAATAAACAAACACAAAAATAAAAAATAAACAGTGAAGGCAAGAAAATGACCAAAGACAGAAAAATTAAAGCCACACAAAAAGAGTCGCCCGCCACTTTTCAGCGTTAACACTACGATAGCAATGCGGCCTTATTTTTTTTTCGTAATATATAGTACTACTATACCTGCCCAGATTTTGGCAGATGTAACATGTTTATTTACATCACATCAAAGTCACCATGCAATAAACCTTAGTTTTTTAGCGCTTTAGTTTCCGTAGAAGGTGCATATTGTAAACTAGATGAATATGTCTAGTGTTAGACGGTGCCCCGGACGTTCAGTCGGAAACGACTGCGATGTCCAAACTGTAGAAGTTGTATAGTAAAAGCTGTGGTAAAACTTGGCAGCGGTTGCCTATTACTGTTGTTTTGTACTATTCTGGGCACTAAACTGTCTTGTACCTTGTTAATGGAGCTGCATGTAATGGAATAGAAAAACGTTATTTTAATGGAGATGTATTACTTTAATTTTTAATGTTAAAATATGATCCGCCGTAGTGGAGCAGCAGTTACGGTCCTCGGCTGTTGGATTGAAGGTCACGGGCTCGATTCTGACCGTGGTGCTCGCATTTAGATGGAAGCAATATCCTAAACGTTTATGTGCAGTGCGATGCCGTCGCGCGTACATAAACACGTACACAAACCTCAAATTATTAGCGCTAAAATTGTTTTTTTTTTTCCTCCTTCTGATTCGTAACTAAAGCTTTTAAAAACGTCCTGTACTTTATAGCTAGGCTATCTTTGGTGAAAAGCAGACAGTATTTTTACTTGTTCATTTGCTTATTACTCATTCGCACACCATGCACTAAAATATCAAGATACGCAACCTAGCTATTCTATTCTTCAAAAAGCCACTGCTGGTAATGAAGTGATATGAATATTCGTAACTGCCACCCCATTTTGTTGTTACAAGTTCTCCAAAATACTACAGCTGCTACCACCTCCACTCTATGCGACTTTCAGTTAAACATCATTAGTTAATAACTTGAAAACGTGTCTAAGGTTGGGCTCTTCTTTCTACCTCAGGAACTACCACTACGACCGTTGTTCATGGCACAACCAGTACAACAGGTGGCATGGGTAAGTGAGGCTTCATAATATAAAATATGCTATTGAGAATGAGTTCATTGATTATGGTATCAGCCGAGCGCCGTTGAGTGAGTTTAGCAATGTCACTTTCACCAATATTCATTCTAGACATAAGCATCTTGGCAGGACGAATGTAAGCTTTGCGTACAAGACTCGAATGAGGAACGCTGTAAGCATGTAGTTCACAAACAAATGAATGAATATGCACTCTGTTGGCTTTTTGTTTTTAAACTTTAAAGATTGACACAGTCGGCTGTGAATGACGCAAAACTTACAACCAACTGTACGAATGTTTATTTTATTTATTTGTTCATACGAATACCCTAAGGGCCCGAAGAGGGCAGTACTTAGGGGCGGATGCAAGCGTGTGTACAAAAATTGGCAGATCCAACGTACAGTGGGACTCGATGATATGCGAAGCATGAATGAGGAAGGTTGATATGTTTTACATGAAATAAAAACAACGTAACGAAGCGTACGTAAATTATACTGAACATGACTTCCATGTCATGATTATCATGTTTCGACGTGTCATTCAACTTCGTCGTGCATTCACGTCACTTAATTTCCAAATTTCATATATGTGTAGCTAGCGAAAAAGCCGCGTTTGCATCATAAGCGTGGTATGATGTTGTATTCTCACATAAGACGCATGTTATGTTCATCGTGTTTGCACCAGTCATATACCTTCGTCATCCATTGAGGTCACGTAACACCAAATTTGGTGTATGTGAAGCTAGCATAACGACCACGAGAGCATTGTGAACGTAGCATGTAGTTGTGTTTTACAGGACATGTATGTCATGATTTCCTCAGTAGGGTCTGTCGCTTATGTTTGCCATGCAGTCATGTCATACCATACCAGTTTTGAAATATGTCATGGGAACAAAATCACCGCAAGAGCAGCAAGACCATGAAAAGTAAATCACGACATTAATGACATACATGTAATGATTTTCATGTTATAACTAGTCACTTATGCTTGATGTACAGTCATGTCTTGCCATACCAATTTCGGTATCTATCCCATTACCGAAACGTCCAAGAGAGCTAAGAGTCGCGGGTGGCTAGATATACAGATACGCTCAAAGTCGCTGAAGTACGCTAAGGAATGCTTAGCATTTAAAACGGGGTGTATACATATGATGGTGAAAATGAACACATAAACCATGATATAAATTATTTGACATAAATTTCGAGTTAAACAATAGGTGCTGTCATCCCTCTCACTAAGAAATGAATACTATTACAAAGAGAAAGAGAAAAGAAGGTTAGAACACAATTAAGAGCAGATAAAAAGAGAGTATGGAACAAATATACACAAGGCAAAGTACAACTCTATAAATGACAATGTTGCGTTATACTATTTTATAGCGGAAGATGTTTTTTTTTCTTTTTTTTACAAGAGATGCAAATATTTTTAGGCTAAGGAGGGTTTCTTTCCAAAAAACACTGTTAGGGCAGCTTGAAATAGAGTTGATTCTGTAAGTGTCACGATAGATGAGGGCAAACAGTTCCATTCTGTAATTAAATGCAGTAGGCCCGTGTGCTCAGATTTGGGGGCACGTTAAAGAACTCCAAGTGGTCGAAATTTCCGCAGCCTCCACTACGACGTCTCTCATAATCATATGTTGGCTTTGGGACGTTAAACCCATCATCATCATCATCATCATCATCATCATCATCACCACAATCATCATCTTCATCATGATTCATTCTGTAATCGATAATACCTCTGATAATACTAACGACAAATTTTGATATAAGTTCGTCCGGGCAACTATGAGTTTCATTTTGTGAACATGGTCTCGCCGAATAGTTACTTTGGGAGCAGGCAGAAGGTTAGCTCGAGCAAATGTGGTGGTTAGCTTGAGCAAATATGAATGTTGTTTGATAACTTGCGACATTAATAATGAAGATTTAGGCGCATCGTCAAATGTAAAAACCGGCCATTGGCGTCAGCATTGTAACATAAGCGTACCATTGAAGAATGCAGCAGTCAGCCTGCTCAAGGCCAACTCTTTATTTGGGTGAACCTGTGCTCGAGAAACAAACGCTCCTACTACAGCAATACACGCTCACATTGTATACACTGAAAGCGGCGAGCCGAGCGTCAACTGTCGATAATGCGTCAAGTGGTAAAGCGTGTCGACGGCGTTCATACATGTGCTATCGAAGATCTTATCGTTATGGCTGGTGACAACGTAAGCTCCCAAATAAACTAGGCAATATGTGCCCTGCACGCAATTTCAAAGGAATAATCCTAAACATTCGCGAAGCTTCGAAGCATTATGGCGTCGTCTGCGCCAAGAGTTTGAAAAGAGTGTGGGGGAAATCAAGTATATGAACATTACACGTGTGCGAATACGAGTGATGCGAAAAATTGTCGTTTGAGGATGTCATCAAATGACTTCATGACGTCAAAGGTTGTCCGAATTCGTGACGTAATACTCTATTGTTCGATAACCTCAAATAACATGATGAAGCTATCCCGTGACATTTTCATTTGGCGAAAGGTGGTCTATCACGTAGGCAGTGCATAACCAGCCAAAGTAGATGAAGCTTTCATGGCTCCGCTTGTCCTACTTAGCTCTTACCATGCAACAGCGTGCTGCTGTTTCTTGATGATGATGATGATGATGATGTGAGGTTTAACGTCCCAAAACTATACTATCATGAGAGACGCCGTAGAGGGGTTCCGGAAATTTCGACCACCTGGGGTTCCTTAACGTTCACCCAAATCTGAGCCCACGCCATTACAGTATTTTAGCCTCCATCGAAAATGCATGCGCCGCAGCCGCGATTCGCTCCCACAACCTGCACAAGTGTGTCTTCAACCAAGCAGCAAACGCCCTTTATGCTTTGCATGACAGAAGTTTCTTTACTCGATACCCGTTTCCTGCGGTAGAGTTATAAAAGCCAAGTGCGCTTCGGCCTTATTGAAATGAAAAAATATATATATATTACAATTCACAATGCAATCGAGAGACAGATGGAAATTGATTGCTGTGACAGTGGATGATCTCCTATATCTGATCAGTGCGAAGTGTTGAACAAGCGCGTCATCAACAATCACGTGAGAAATTATACAACCACATTCGAAACAAAACTGCTGTAATCGCTTATATCAGCACCCCCTTCTTGGCCTTACCAGCTCATGAAGGGTTTTTTCTAATCAGGCAAATTAATCACAAAAATTTGGTCGATGACATTGCGATGATGCTGTCTCATCCTGGCTTGACCCTCTGGTGTTTTTACGTGCTTGCGCAATACTATGTATTTGAACTAATTAACTGATCAAAATCTGCTGGCAGTTAGCGCTCTGCCCGTTCCTCCGGCCATTTCGACCGTTTCTCTTTTTTCAGAGTATGCTGTACCAATTCAGTTCTATAAAAAATGGCAGATCCCCCGTACAGTTGGAATCGATGATATGCGAAGCTCGAATGAGAAATGTTGATATGTCACTTTAAAATCAGCACAACGTTACGAGGTGGAAGTAAATGATGCCGTACATGACTTCCGTGTCATGATTATCATGTTTAGATGTGTCGCTTACCTTCGCCATCTATTTACGTCACGTGATACTGAATTTAGTATATGTGGAGCTTGCAAAACGGCCGCGAGCACGCTATGAGCACGGTATGTTGTCATGTTCTTTCATTACACCCGTGTCAGGGTTATCATGTTTGCACCAGTCATACTATATTTCGTCATTCATTGACGTCCCGTAACACCATATTTGGTATATGTGGAGCTAGCAAAACGGCCACGAGCGCATCATGAAGGAGCCCATATACTCCAATGTATCGTTGACGCGCGCGCACGCTGTAAGGGCACAGCGACGCTACGTTAGCAAAGCGTGAGCACTCTATAGTCTGACGCCAGTCGCGACCAGCGTCCGTCGGCGCGGCCTGACGGCAACTGGCGCGAAGTGCGACATGCTGCGTTTCGCGCCGATGCGTAAAGGTTGTTTCACATGCCGTGATTGCAGCTAAAAAAAACGTTCCGTTCACTCCAATCGCGCTGTTCACAACCACCGCAAATGGCGGTTTCGTTAAGATGAACCGCGAACGGTCTGTGATTTTTCGCTCTGTGTCTGGAGCGGCGAGCAACGCTTCTTGCCACCGTCCGTTGTGGCAGACAATAAATTTTTTTAAATATATTGCAACAATATACGCGTGATGATATTATTATATTTCCATGAACGGTAACGAGGAGCACTTATGTTTCGTCATTTAAGAACACTTTCCAATCTACCTACACTTTAAATGCGCAACAGAGGCCATAACCAAAACAAACACGTCAACGCAATTTCAACACCTTGGCCGGCACAACCCGGTTTCGACGAGTTCCGAACAGAAATCACTCTCGCCGCTGCGGTCAAAGCTGAAATTTCCAACATAATGGTAGCTCGCCACAGACCGCTGTGGCAGGAGCGAACTGTCCTTTTTTTTTTTTTTTTCCGCTGCGAGCGAATTCGCAGACTGAAATCGCTACTTTTTGTCATGTGAAATGGCCTTTACAGAGACAAATCTGCGTCTCCCTCTTTTCGTGACGGAGGGACTCCGGACGCGCTGAAAGGCACATGCGTCAAAGCAACGCAACGCGGCACGCCCCTGCGAGTATATGGCAGGACCGGCGCCTGGCACGGCAACGCCAGTGTGACGCGACGAAATGAACGCCGGCAAGTACGCGCACTGCGTCATGTCGAAATGTATTGGTGCCTTGACTGTGGCATGTAGTCATGTTCTCACATGACACCCACCTCATGATTATTATGTTTGAACCAGTCACGTACCTTCGCCATTCATTGGTGTCACGTAACAGGAAATTGGGCATATGTGAAGTTAGCGAAACGGCAGCGAGTGCATCGTGTGTGTGGCATGTAGTCATGTTGCTACATTACACGCATATTGTGATTATCATGTTTGTATGTGTTATTTACCTATGTCGTCCGCTAGCGTCACGTAATACCGAGTTCGGTACATGTGAAGCCAGCGAAACGGCCGTGAGCGCATCATGAGCGTAGCCTGTAGTGATGTTATTACATGACACGCATCTCATGATTATCATGTATGCACCAGTCACATACCTTTGTCATTCATTCACGTACCGTAATACCGAATTTGGTATATGTGACGCTAGCGAAACGGCCGCGAACGCATCATGAGCGTGGCATGCACTGATGTTGTTACATGACACACATGTCATGATTTTTATGTTAGGGGCTGTCGCTTGTGTTTGCCATGCAATCATGTCGAACTATACCAGTTTTGCAACATGCCATGTGAACGAAATCACCGCAAGAGCTGCAGGACTATGAGATGTAAATCCTGACATTCATGACTTACACGTCATTATTTTCATGTTATGGCTAGTCAGATATGTTCTTCATACAGTCATGTTATGCCATACCAAATTTGGTATCGATACCATTATCGAAACGGCCAGGAGAGCTAAAAGTCATAGGCGGCTAGATAGATAGATAGATAGATAGATAGATAGATAGATAGATAGATAGATAGATAGATAGATAGATAGATAGATAGATAGATAGATAGATAGATAGATAGATAGATAGATAGATAGATAGATAGATAGATAGATAGATAGATAGATAGATAGATAGATAGATAGATAGATAGATAGATAGATAGATAGATAGATAGATAGATAGATAGATAGATAGATAGATAGATAGATAGATAGATAGATACGCTCAATGTCGCCGAAGTTCACTAAGAAATGCTTTCCATTAAAAAAATTGGCAGCATATCCACGTAGTGAATGATGGAGAGTGGGGCGAAGCATTCGTCCGTCCATTCGTTCTTGCTTCCGTCCGTCCATGCGTCCTTCTGTGTGACTGTCATGCGTCCATCCGCCTATCCGTACGTGCATCTGTTCGTGCGTCTGTCCCTGCGTTCGTCCATGCATCCGCTCCTGCGTCCGTTCATGCGTCCATCCATGCATCTCTCTGTGTGTCCGTTCGTCCATCTATTCAACACTCCAAGTACCACCATCTCGCATCTTTTCATTATATATTCCCCATATACAAGCACCGTCATCGAGCGGAAGTTCGAAGGACTAAAGGAGAGGAGGCACACGCACACTTTCTTACGGCTTGCGCTTCGGGTCTACTTCCCACCTTTAACCACCTCGAGTTCATGGTATATACTAGTTCATTGTATTCGTGGCACTGCGGCTCAACGCTCGCTAAACTTTTGTAAAACTAAGGAGGTTACACCCAGCGAGTATAACGTAGCAACCCTTTCTTGTCAGATAGTGCTCAATGTACATGCCAATGGCTGCTAAATTGGATTGCAGCGTGCGCGTCGACTATAAGCCGAATGCTCCTGTCTCTCATTCTGCTTTAGCAGCCATCGGCGTGTACATTGAGCACTATTTTTTATTGTTCAACAACGCAGAGAAGAAATATATCACCGGCACCACCTTGGAGGCCAAAATGTTATACTTGTTACACACTACAACAGCTACGAGGGACGAACGGGTGTCGCTATAAGGAGCTTCGCCCCTAAAAAAAAGTCCGTTCCACCGCAAGGGAGAAGCAGTGAATTCACCAGCAAGAAACTGTAATGGCAAATGAGGAGCAGCTAACATATTTTCTTTAAGATCTCATATCACCCAGCTTTACGAAACGGTGGTGTATAATGAACACAACCACTACAGGGACACGTTTCTCAGTTTGTTCGTGTTGAGGGTGCAGTGGGTAGAGGAGTGCACGAGCCGCTTGCTCATGGTTGCTGAGATAGAGAGTTGACGCGCACCAGTGATGGTGACCATGCCCGTGAAATCCAAGTCCACAGTTGCTATACCAGCAGTTCTCCCCCGCTTCTGCTTGCATATTTTCATTCTCTTCAAAGACGGGCGGAGCGTTTGCCCTCCGTTAGAGTACGCGATGCCAGGCCTAGCAGGCGCAGGATTTTATGGCATGCATCCTGTGAGTGACGGAGATGGGCTGCCATGCTCGATGCCTGCTTCAGCCACATTCGTCGCCCGCGCTCGCACGCTAGTACCCGCGGGTAGAACGTACGGTGCGCTGGCGGATCTTAATCATTTGGAGTTTATACAAAACAGGACGGCGACGGCGACGGCAACGGTGGCGGCAGAAACCCGTCGAGAGTGTTCATATGATTGCTTTCGCAATAAAACCAATTCGCCCAATAATAAACACTTGTCGGCTTTATGGTCATTTTGTCTGTAGGACATAGGTGTAGTGTAATGTCCTGAACAAAATACAAATTTTTAGAATACACACCTAATAATAGCGTCTCGAATTACGCAATAAAGCTACATATTGCAAACACTGCTTCTATCAAAAATGAAAAAAAAAAATGGCATCACAGAACTCGTGTGAGCAACTCTGTAACAAAAAAAAAACGCTTGTTAACTTATCCCGACTGCTTTAAAAAGATACATGATAGGGCAAAATGATGGGGAATTGCTAATGAAGCCATTTTCATAAAAAAAAGAACACACTGGAACTTTGTTTATGCTAGACAAGTTTGATTGATATGCGGGGTTTAACGTCCCAAAACCACTATATGATTATGAGAGACGCTGTAGTGGAGGGCTCCGGAAATTTAGACCACCTGGGGTTCTTTAGCGTGCACCGAAATCTGAGCACACGGGCCTACAACATTTCCACCTCCATCGGATATGCAGCCGCCACAACCGGGATACGAACCCGCGCCCTGCGGGTCAGCAGCCGAGTACCTTAGCCTCTAGACCACCGCGGCGGGGCTATGCTCGACAAGTTTGATGCTATAGTTGTGTGAATCGATGCAGGTGCTACCTACATGCTTATCTGAGAAAATGCCCTATATGAAATTTTCTAAAACTATTTCTCACAGGTTTAGGAGGCTCCCTTTCACCGCACAGTCTTCCGGGCCTCTCGGGTACATCGAGTGAGTAGAAGTAAAATCCTCGTGGCAGCTACGTCTGCTTATAGATTTTGCAAGTTGAGTAAATAATAATTTATAGGATTTCTTTATCTTACTACGTGAATGACAAAGCTACATATTGCAAACACTGCTTCTATCAAAAATGAAAAAAAAATGGCATCACAGAACTCATGTGAGCAATTCTGTAACACACAAAAAAAAACGCTTGTTAACTTATCCCGATTGCTTTAAAAAGATACAGGAGAGGGCAAAATGATGGGGAATTGCTAATGAAGCCATCTTCATAAAAAAAGAACACACTGGAACTTTGTTTATGCTCGACAAGTTTTATTGATATCTGGGGTTTAACGTCCCAAAACCACTATATAATTATGAGTGAATGAACCTGTGAGTGAATGACACTCTCGTCACAAAATACGAACGAAATACCTTGATCTGCAGCATTAGCTAGTACTCGTAATAACTAATCATAATTAACACAGTCACAAGTGTGTGTGTATGCGTTTCTGCATGTGTATTTGTGTGTCTGTGTGGGTGCGTGCATGCGCATATCAATATGCATGGCATTAGACTCTTAAAGGCAAAGCTTATAGGTCACCTAGCTTTCTGAAAAAAAAATTGCTACCTTCTATCTGTAGCTGCAGCCACCTATCTGGTTATTGAATTCCCCAGCAAGTCAGGTAGAATTTTAACTTCTTAACATTAAGATAAACACTCGCAACATTTACGGCTGTAATTCAGGTTGAAGTTCAAGAATAATTTTTTCCACAACTATGCTGATAATCAATGCCTTGTGATAAAATCTGCGCATCTATCTTGTTTGTAAAAGCATGCTCTCCCATTTATAATGCATTTGTGAAGAATTCATTAAACATTTAAATACGCAAAGCGTTAATGATAAATTCCCAAGTTAGTCGTAATGTTCCACGGGAAAAATGCCTTTACCATGCGTCATCGACACAAAGGCCAACAAATGTTACTATAGAGAAATTTAGGCATCTAAACTATCGCTAATGGTCAGTAAATCTGGGCAAAAGATTGTCGCTAAATTAATACTTCTGGTGAAATAAGTATTTACTATAGCATATGAGAAATAGAAATATGTGCCTAATGGTCAAAGACACATTGAATAAAATTTGTGACCATAAGTTAACCCCAAAGGTAACGTGCAGCGTATATTTTCGGTAAAGGTATAATGCCTCACTTGCCTTTGTGTAGGTAGCATAAAGTTGTTACGTTTTTTTTTTTTTTTACAAAACACGTTACCTATTCAGTTGCTTATGTTTGGCAATGCCTACAGCACTGATGTCTCGTTATACCATCTTAGGTGTCAATCACGAAAATGAACAATGTCTTGTATAGATACGAATCGCGTTGTACATTTGAATGCGAAGCTCATGAGTCCTCCAAGATTTTGGACTTTGTCTTCAACATCGTCTCCATACATTTTATGTGGTCGTACTTTTTCCCCAGAAATTAGTCACTGCTCCCCTTTCCTCGTGTGGTCCCCCTGCCATACATAATAGTCCTTCCATTAGGGTCATTAAATTAGGTGGATCATAGAAATATATTTCTCTTTATTGAGCTGGTTAATTGAGCTATTATTTAAGAAAGTTTTTTTACAGCCTAAACTATGATGCTAGAACATTTAATTATGTGCCTAATTATATTATGCAGAATATAACTGAATCATGGTAAATGTATTCAAAAGGTACATGAAGAGAGGGAAGTAACACCATGTATTGTTGTTATATTTTCTTTCACAGCAGCCGGCGGTGTTGGCGGAGTAGTTGGCTCAACAGGCTCTGTGTCCAGCGGCGTGGGTAAGAGCATGACATTTACCTTCAGAAAAGTCAGTGCTCCCAGCATATTACTGGTTCTGCAACATATCAGAGTTGAAAGGCTTTCAGTGGCACGATAACACGTATATGATATCAACAAATCGACTCAGCCACTGTAGTTACAATAATATGAGTGATATGCGCTCAACAATTACGCCGATTTCTTAGAGCCTCCTTCATTTCTGCATGCTACTCAAGCGGAGCAGGGGTAGCATGCGCATTTTCCCTAACTTCAGCAAAATGATAACGCCATTTCCGCACAAAAAACGCCAGGCCTGCGCGGTAGGCGCAGCACAGTCACAGCGAAAGCTAGAAGAGCGGCCTTTCAGAGCCTTTTCCAAACACTCATTGGGTAACTGCTGCAAGCACACTTGCTTGATACTCGCTAAGGCATTAATAATAAACTTTTGGGTAGTAGGCCGGCATTCGCTATGCTATTTTTCGTCATTCTTCTGAGAAGCTTGGTATCCGCTAAACACTTGCAAGGAATTTTGTGCCAGTTGTCCATGCAGTGGCCGACGACGATGAGGAATTAGGGCTGTAGTGGGTATGCGCCTCGCTTAATAGGGAAACAATAACAAGCTTTTGTAATGGGTTGGAGCATTGAATGGCCTACTCGTTATGCTAATCGGATTGTGCAACGACTGGTGGTTCTTTCGCTCTTTTAAAACACTTCATAAGTCGTAATAACGCGATTGCTCTCCAGACATCAAGCCTGCCTAAGGCAAGTTTGTCAACAAACTTTAGTGTCTTATACTCTTTGATGTTGCCTTTCCTCTGTCCCGATTTTTTGTAATTCATCTCTCTCTCTTCGCAACATTTCTTTCTTAACGTCTTTCATTCCCCTCACCCCTTTCCCCAGCACAGGGTAGCCAGCCGGTCTAAGAACTGGCTAACCTCCCTGTCTTTCCGCTTAAACTTTCTTCCTCCTTCTTTGTCAACAAGTCACAAGCATGGAGTTTCCTAAAATTATTCAGAGGGTACTCTCACGCTGCGAACGTTCAGCGACCATGGCAGTGATGGGTAGTACACACATTTGTTTTGAAAGAAAGATTCAACCATTTTGAAATTTCTTACCCGATTTGGAAAGGTAAGTCTTAAAAAATAAGGTGGTGAAGCGCAACCGCTGAACATTTGCTAATATTTGTTTCGTAAGAAAACAGCTCCAAGCCACACGAACACACGTGGAGCCAGAAGCAGGCCAGAAGTACGAAAGTTAGACAAATGTGCGTACTACCCATCATTCCCATGCTCGCTGAAGCGCCGTGCATTGCAGCTCCCGTAGACACTAGCACCAGAGTTCCCTCTAGTGTACGTTGAGAAACTCTATGGTCACAAGCACCGGCGTAACCCAGTGGTAGAATATTGGGCTGGCACTCAACGGACCGGGGTGGAAGCCCCACTGTGTCATCAATGCAAGGTTTTTCTTTTTCCTTCGGACTTGTAGTGTTACAAAACGCTGTACATCGCTAGTTCACATCACTTTGTGCGCTTTCACGACGTTTGCATGATATCACAGTTTCCCACTTGTACCGTTACAACACGCTGTATAATTTCGCGCGATGTGGTTACGGACACCGGTGGCAGCGGCGGATAACATGCAACTGCGCGTGACCCGAAAAGTGATTTCATAACAGCTTTCACTGTATTAATGTCACTCATTACTTTCACCAACCTATCGCCTATTTTCATTTTTTTTTTTTTGTGCAAGCATTCTCCCACTATTTTGTGTCTGCTCAAGGGGACATGCGGTCAATAAAAACTCTGGAAAACTCTAGCACACCAAAAAATAAGGTGTAAGTAGTAAAAGCTGTACTTACTGTAGTTACTACTAACACCATATTTTCTAGTGCGCTTTGATTTTTTACGAGGTGGAATTTAGCCTGCTTCTCAAAGCTACGTGCTAGCTTCAATATAAAATTTGTATAGGTCTTGGTATCATAATGCAATCTAATTCAGGACTGTCCTGCAGTTACTTCAAAGCTTGGCTGTAGTGACCGAAAATAAATGGCTTTTTTGGGGGAATAACTGCTTAAGCTTTGAATCTAAGTACTGTTTTTGGACTAGATAAATCACTCGTGATCCATGGTCTATGATTTCTAGACCAGCTGAGATAGTGAAGCCTGATGACAGGGAAAGTATGGAAAAGCTAAAAAGTTGAAAGGGGAGCTTAATGTAGCTAGCTAGTGGACCTGGTATAAAAAGGGTAGTCACGTGGATATGGGGAACGTGGTTAGCGCAGAGCAAAAGAGGAGCTAGCGCTAGTCTTCTTGTCTCTTTGTCGTCGTTCTGAGCTCGCGCTATAGAAATCGTCATGAGGAGCTATTGTGGGGGTGAAGCAGGTGGTGGGGCGAGGAAAACAGACTGATAACTATCCTTAAAACGCTAAATGTCTCAATGGTTCTGAAATATTCGCTTTGCATCACATCGCATTCGCTCAGGCATTTTCTGCAATGGCCAAGCTAAAACACTCCATCAGCTGCAGTGTTTAATCAACCTACGTGAGAATAATGCAATAAAGGGAGAAAGAAGAAGAGAGGTTCTTGAAATGAGAAATTTATAAACAGGGTCTACGAGCTGTAGTAAGCGCTTTGATAATTTCTGTCGATGCTCTTTTCGTGACGCTAAGTAACTTGATGTGCATACTTTTTTTTCAACCGCAGAGTTATTCATGCCAGCCGTTACCTTTAATCTGAGAACTAGAATCTATCATTGTCATGTGCGCACGTGCTATAATCGTCTATTGTTTTGCTTCGCTCCCGGAATACACGCATGCATCGGTTTGTCCTGCTTGGAATGGAATAACTAGTGAGTGAGAGAATGAGTACAGAGAAATAGTAGTAAGTAAGAAAGAGGAAAAAAGCTGTAAAGAAAGAAAAATAAAAATTTATGGCTAAAAAGTTCCTGATGAACGGGAACTTGAGCCCACACGCCGAAGGTACGAAGGTGGGCATTTTTATTATGCAGCTATACATGCATGCTTACGAAGTACAACGTAGCCTTGTATACTAAAAACTGCCAAGGAGCTGGGAAAATAAAGACAGGGTGAAGAGGAGAGATTGAGGATTGAGGGTGAAGAAAACGGTAAGGGGGTGGAAGAGATTAAACCATTGCATGGGAAGAAAGCGAAAAAGAAAGAAAACGAATTATTATAGAATGAGAAAAAAAAGGACAGAAAGAGAAAGACAGAGGACTGGAGAAATGGCGAGATAGAAAAAGAGAACGGAAAAGAAAGGAAGACAGGAGAAGCCACAAAGAGCAAGAAATATAGAAAGAGAAAAAAAACAGACCTAAACAGACACGTAGACATGAAAACACGGATAAGACACAAAAATAAAAAAAGAGGGGATGAACGAACCAGAAGGAAAATTCAGCAGATTTCAACCAGAAGGAAAATTCAGCAGATTTCACGCCTTGTGGAAATGGGTACGTTTCATGCGAAGCAATCAGTGAATGGTTTTCTATGCTTTAATCAAACGTTACGAGGCGAGTAGACCAGTATTAGTAAGTGCAGTATTTGCATGAACATTGTGGGCTTATCAGGAACGTCGACTACACTGGCGTTTACAAGCTATAACTTGATCTCATGTAACGCCAATGTTGGCACAAACATCAGCATTCTCGCAACAAAATATTTTTTACAGTGTGACGAAGTGAATGCCATACGTAACTTTCATTAGCGTATTCCTCCAGAGTCTATCAACACTTGCATATTGCTTGTGGAACAGTAGGAAATCAAAGGTAACGTTTAGCGTACATCGGAACCACAACCATCTTTCACCCTGCATGATGTCTGTATTGATGCAGTACATGTGTCACGTCTATTGCTTTGTTGTAACGATAAATAGCCAAAACGACAAACCACAATTAACGCTGCACTGACATTGCCACTGAATACGACCTTTTCCAGATTAGTTTCAAGAACTGGTTTGGCTCTGGCTACAATACCTGACTGCCACGCAGAGCGCTTTTGTTAGATTCCAGCTAGGATTCTGAATTGCATTCTTTGAATTCGTCGAATCAACGCAGGCAATGTCTTTTTTTGTTAGCGCCTTCTCACTTAAATTACGAATGCCTGTTGACAACGTTCCAAGGTGGATACGAACTGTCGATCACCTGAGGCGCATACCTGCCTACAACGGCCCGTCGTCATATACAAATTTGTGGCACACGTGTGGAGAAGAGAGAGATTTTCACCTTATTCGTGTCATGACCTCAAAGACATACAAAATCCTGTTACCCTCCCCTGCAAATTTTTTTCTGCACCATGTTTAGGAGGTGACCACGTGAGCACCTTGGCGTATAGATGACAAGATAGATATATTAGTAGATACGTAGATAGAAACGAGCCTTTGGTGTGCTGAGAATGTTTCGCTTTTAGTAAAGAGAAACAGAGGCCATCCAGCTTTAAATTTCCTGGTGCCTATAATGCGATGTTAACTTTATAACCTTTCTTTTATGATAGGACGTAAGGATAAACATTGTATCTTGTTTCGTCTTTCTTTATCTTCAGGTCTTACTGGCAGTTCAGGTCTTACTGGCAGTACTGGTGGAGTAGCGATCACTGCAGGTATGTTTATTTATGCTTTATTTTTTTATGAACGAGTACCGATCACGTGTCACTAAAAAGAGAATACGTCAGTTTTTTTTTTTCTCTGGTTTGTCAGCAGTTCTCTTTATGCTGGCTCTAAAGTTTGTTGCAACTTTCAAACAAGCAGTAACAACCTTGGGAAATTTTACCTGACATAACCCCAATTTCAATAAATGCATGGCTGAGTGCAGAGCTCTAGAAATTTGTACCATATGGTGGTTGCTTATATTTACTGAGAAGGCACTACGCACGGGTCTCCATCGAAATGCGCCCACGCGGGTGGGATCAGACCCACGATTTTAGGGTTAGCAGCAAAAAGTTTTATTCTTGTTCACCTGATAAAAGAAATGATCGATTATTGCCTGTACCTGTTCTCTATGACAATAGATTTTCCCAAAAGAAATACCTCGTCGATTAATTTTTTTATTTACTCAAAATGTAATACCTGCTTGAAGTTCGAAAGAAAAAAGAGGTAAAGGAATCATTTTACGTGACTTAGCAGTGTTCTGTATGTATGTGGGTGTTTAAATAAAATGTCTCATTTCCGCAGTGCCAGTAGCTATTCCTGTATTGGTTTCTGTTTTTTTTTTATTTAGCATAACAGTTGCTGCCAAAGTATGACCACTTGTTTTGTTGCCCCGGTGTTTACTAATAAGGCCATCAAAAAAGATTTAGTAGTAGTAAAACATGCCGCTTCCTTTTCATTGTTGAGGTCCTGCTGCCGGTGGTCCCGGTGTCACCCTTGCTGGTGGCCCTAGAGGAGGCCTTGGTGGTGGCCTTGGTGGTGGCTTTGATGGCAAACTTGGTAGGGACATTTTTTGTATTCTTGGTCATGGAAAGACATGTATGTGCTATCAGAATGAGGTGTATCATGTAATATAATAATATTGCTTATTTTCAAGATGTTAGATCTCAAAATGTTACATGTATTGGATGTACGGCCAAAGGCAGATGAACTGCCGGACAATGGCCTTACCACCCAAGCACTGTTCAACAAGATTTCGAACATATATGAATTATACAATGAAATAGAAAGCAGAATCACCAAGAAGAAAGAAAAACATGACACAATGCTATGAGGGAGCGTTCATGATACACACAAAATAATTTAAACGAATGTACAATTTTTAATACAATTGCGGTACATCACATGACGCTTGAGACCCTGCTCATACTTTGAGGGCATACAGGGCATGGTGGTGGAGATAGATGTGGTGGTGGTAAGTGAACGTGGCGCCAATCAGCACGAGTGGGTGCCACAAGAATTAGAAACATTGCATTCCATAAGCAGTGTGTCCAAGCCACACTCATTATGAAAATGTCCACTGTGGTTTCGAGGCAAATTACACGGTGGTGCGTGTTGTTACAACCAAATGCAGGTTTTTTTTCGTTCAAAGAATATGTTTATCGGGTTAAGCAGTGCTTTTACGGATTTTCTGTTATAATAAATAGCAGTTCACGCCTCTCGCATTGAGAATGACACTGCAGCTCCAACAAACCCCACTGTATACATTTATCGCTGATACCATATTTGCTGTGAACTGCTTTCACACACTTCGTTGACAGGCTCAGAATCTTATAAAGAAGCTGAAAAGCCTTTCGACACCAATCCACGTGGGCACATTCAAAAATTTGATTCTACAAACAAATGCCCTTGTCTCTAGAGCCCTATCCAAGAAACTGCACTACGGAGTAAAAGAGACAAGATAAGACTACACTGGAATATGCACATTCGAGACTTTTTCGTGCTTTCATTGCAATAGGAAATATATGAACCCTCTCGGCTGGACCTCGCCCCTGGCGTCGGCGCTGTCCCTTACCGTATATGTATACGCATCTATATATATGAAAATGCAAAAAAAAATAATTAAGAAAAAACTCCGGTGCGCTGAATCGAACGTGGGACCTTTGAAGTGTCAGTACAAGGCGTTAGCCACTGAGCCACAAAGGAGCACCTCGTTGAACCTTGAATGGCTGAGCTATTTATACTTATTTCCGCAGACGACAGTAAACTCATTTTCATACTCAGCTAGACTATTAACAAACAATATTTTTGTGGGAAAGTCATACTAAGTACGAAATGTTTTCTCAAGCGCACATAAAAAAATAAAGCACTCATTCAAAAGTCACGTTTTTTTATTATTATAATGTTACCTGTAGATGTACCTGTAGCACTGCGAACTATTGGATTAGCGGTAGTAGGAGTTGGACCGGTCAGTGGCTTCCAGACAAAGCATTTTCAATATGATTTTTGTCGGGAGACCATTTGCTATGACATATACGCTTATAGCAACAAAGAACGTTCTAGTTAGCTCTTAGTAAAAGGGGTATTTGGTTTCTAGGTCGTTTCATGCAAATGTAATTCCCAAAGTGCATTGTGTGAGCACAATTCGAGACTTAACTAATGGTTTGATGGCCTCAAGCAAAAAGCGAAGTGTTTAGCACATTACATAATTACGCACTCTATTTGCTCTTGTTTAGGCCTCGGTGGTGGCTTGCATGGCACGCCTAGCGGAACCATAGTCGGCGTCCCCAGCGGTGGTGTCTACGGCAGCTCTGGCAGCCTTAGCGGATCAGGAGGTGCGTCGACCAGTGACCTGATAATTGACTTTACTGTTAATAGCAGTTTTGTTTAGATTGAGCTTAATCAGTCCAATGCGAAAAAACATTCCGTGATGACGTCACCACGCGTTTTGTGGCAACCAGTTGCCCAGCTGTGCGCCTGCTTCACTAGCACATACACTGTTCCGCCATGAGCACGTCTGTCTGGGCAATGCGCGCAACCACTGAGTCGCGCCAGTTATGACGTCAAGAAATACTGCTCATGTGATTTCTTTGTAATAGCAACATGCGGCGGCGGCGCGCGGTGCACGGGGCCAAACACAGGCACAGGGTACCGGAGAAGCTTCGCACTGTCTGTGAGGAACCCGGTTACTGAGAATAGCGGTACGCCGTGAACTGAGGCAGCTGAACTAGACTCGTCTAAAGCGGTCCACGACGTACTACGTCTTAAATGGCAAGTGATTATTTTGCTGGACTTAAGTGGAACTTGGCATTAATAGGCATTACTTCATATAATTTTGCATCATTTGGCATCACTTGATATGGTGAGGACCAGGTATGAAGCCTTTAATCCTGCACCACAAGTGCGAGGGACACCTGTTTTTTTAATTAATCATATTTCGATTATAAATAAACATATAGTTAGGCTTGAGCTGCCCAAGCAACTCTATTAACTGGTTAAGTAAATTAAACGAGCAGGCAGTAAACTCTACATAACCAGGTGGTACGAAATACCAGCTCAAAATGCTCGCGTGAAGCTAGCATTCCAACAGCAGCATCTGCAAGGGTTAGATGTGCGAGTGGTGGAGTGAATGTTCGGCGAGACAGCCAATCACATAAAATTATGACCTAGTTAAAATTTGGCTGCTAAATTTGCAGTAAGCGTGTATTCTAGGTGAGTTTCAAACAGTCGGTATTCCGTGCTCAGACCTTCGTTTCCTCGCGGCACGGTAGAGGTCTTTAGTGAAAGGCGAAGCCGGGCATACATAATAACTGATGCGAACAGGGTCCGATCATGCTATCGCGTTCTACACTTCAACGAAAAGCTCAAGCGTTGTAAAATTTTCATCCGGCTTTGAGGCGAAAATGCTTCTGGCTTCATAGGGTGTAGCGCACTATAGCTGAAGTTAGCGCACTGGTCATGACTGCAGTTTTTTTTTTCTTCATGGCCAGCTCACGCAATCTACGCTCTTCGTTCTTCTATGTGTGTTTATAGTTCACGCTGCCCATCAACGAATTCAGCTGTTATTCTAAATTCACATGCGTTTCTTTTTCTCTATTTCATACCTTAGGTGCTAATATTGTCCATACTGCAGGCAGTGTTGGAAGTTCAATGATGGTTGCATCGGGAGCATCCGGTAAGTGCTGGTGAATTTCCGAATAACCACGACGAAATTATTTTTGTGGTGAATGATGGGGTGGCGTGGTTTTAATGGGAGATATGTTTCAGTGGCATTTTCTGTGCTGCGAAATTGGCGAATGTTTGTTTATTTGTTTTTAAATCACAATTTCAAGTAAAACGTGTAAATATACATATGTGGTGGCAAATACAGACACTTGCGAATCGCATTCACATATTCTAACTACAGGTAGGGAAGCTGCATGATCGACCACTATTTCCATTTACTATTGCTGAATAAATGTAACCGCAAATGTACAATTCATACAAATACAGAATGCTTTTTTAACAATACATATATTTATTATTATTCTGCGGTGTTCATGCTTCAGTCGTTTATGACATAGATAACATAAAGCCTAAATGACATAAGCGAGGCTAGTTAGCAAAAAGTTGTGAACGAAATTTTATTGTTGACTTGATAGCTGTTGCTTTTACTAAAAAGTTACGATGTATGCAAATTTATGGCATACTTTTTTTTCTAGAAATCGCGAAACGCACACGTAATTCGGGATGTTCATAATCGAATTTCAAGAGCGAAATCGAAACTAGCCGCACCCGGCATAAAGGAAACTTGGTGTCTTTGTTACCTAATCACCGGACAGGAAAATGACGAAACTTGAATTATTCTTTATTTGCACAATTTTTTCATTGAATTACGGTGCACTGAAGCAAGATACGGTCCGTAAAATCAACAAGAATACCTAAATAAATAGCAGACAGCCTTTTCTTTGAGTAGAATATGCGGTGCTTATCTGCCTTTTCCTTAATGAATAAAGCGGAGCACAACTATTTCGCCTGTCTGTAAGAAAAAGAGCCGTAGTGCATGCCACCAAGTTTCATGCTTCACACAGTAAGGATTGTGTGAAAATGTAGTTTTCTCGCGCACAGCCTGGAAACTACATAAGTACAAAACACCACATGCAAAAAAAAGTAAGGCAATTCGCTGGCGCAGCAGATATGACGTTTCCTTTTTCTCCAGAAGGTACGACAACGTCACACTTTCATTCATCTTTGTTACTTCCTTAACACTGGGATTGACTTATGACGTCACAGAGTAGCCGCGTCTCATGTGTGCCGGGCACAAACAGTTTCAACGTCACCCTTAAAATTCAAGAATAGACATCTCGAATAACATTCAATTTTCGCGTTTTATAAAATGGATACGCAATAAAGTGGCATAGTTTGGTGCTTCTCCCAACTACCGAAGCCTACCAGCATAGCGGGCTACTTCAAGTTATTCTATGCAGCAATGCTAGAAAACAATTTTCGTCATGAATCGGCTCGCCCCCTCTTTGTTTTCCTCATCCTGTTCTTCGTCCTGTGCTTCACTCTCGGAACAAGAGTGCCGATTTGTCCGACATGGAATGCGATAAATATGATGAGACATAGAGCGAGTGCACACAGGGATAAAAAGAAAAAAAAAGAAAGAAGAACAGAGGAAGATGGGTATAAGGAAGATGAAGAATAGAGGGAGAAGCCGATGAGCCTGCTGCTTTTTTAGTTATTTCACCAATAGTGCGCGGCTTCCCCGAATTCTTTTCTATCGCATGAAAAACATTCAAAGAACATTGATTGCGCATGAAGTGAACTTTTGCTTTCGCTGATCGTGGACCTGCTTTAGGTGCTGCTGGAGCTGG